GCTGAAGGCATGGCTCAAGTGGTAAAGCACCAAGCACAAGGCCCTGAGTTTATCCGAGCACTGAAAAAAAACCCCAAAAAAACCAACCAATGGATTACAGGTGAAAAGGGATCTCTAGGGTCTTGATCTCATAATATAGTCAGGGACATGTGTGCACAGGCCTATTGATTTTTGTAAGGCTCTGTGGGTGCTGGCCCTATGGTGATGTATTTTACAAGACCTCTGAGAACTAACCACTGGGCCAGGTGTGGTGGTACAAAACTGTAATCCTAACACTTGGGAGGTAGAGGCAGAAGGATTGAGAGTTTGAGGCCAGCCTGGGCTACATAGTAAGACCCTGTCTCAAAAAAAAAAAAGAAAAGATGAACCACTGATGTCTAGTAAGTGACAGGCACACTAAAGTATCTAGGTGGCAGGCAGACAGCCATCACTGTAAAATTCATCTCTGCTGTATGTCTAAAATTCTTTTTTTTTTTTATCACTTTTGTTTGAGACAGAGTCTTGCTGTGTAGCCTAGGCTGGCCAAGAACTTGAGCTCCTCCTGTCTCTGCCTCCCATTCTGGAATCATAGGTGTGCACTACCATGCCTAGCAATACTTTCTTTAAGTTTTATGAAGCATCCTTCATGTATGTAAATGGAAAAATGAGACCTGTTGAAACTATTCTAGGAATGGGGGAGTGGGGGATAAAGGAGAATGATGGAGGGGAGTGAATTCAACTATGATATATTGTGAGAACTTTTGTAAATGTCACAATATACCCCCAGCACCAAAAAAAAAAAAAAAAAAAGCATCCTTTGAGATTCATTCGGAATGCCTGTAGATAGAACTAGCACCAATGACTGCCCCTTCCAGGTAGGCACAGCAAGGAAACAAGATGGGTAGAGTAAGGAGAGCTGGTTCTACATTCTCTTTTGTATTTATCTATTTATTTATTTGCGGTACTGGGGCTTGAACTCAGGGCCTACACCTTGAGCCACTACACCAGCCCTTGTTTTGTGAAGTTTTTTTTTGTTACAGCATGAGCCACCAATGCCCAACTTGTATGTATTTAAAAATCTAAATGAGGTGATTGTTAACATAAGGGAAAATATAAAGAGTCTTGGATTGGATCTCCAGCTCAGGCAACTGGGTCTAGTCCCTTGGGGAGGGATGAAGAATTGAAATGCTCATTCTCTTGGGAAGCAGATTCTGGGAAACAGCAGAAACTTTGTCCATCAAGAGTGGGCCGGAACTAGGCGCTGGTGGCTTACGCCTGTAATCCTAGCTACTCAGGAGACAGAGATCAGGAGGATCACACTTTGAAGCCAGCCCAGGCAAAAAGTTTAGGAGGCTCGATCTCAAAAAATTTTTCACAAAAATAGGGCTGGGGGAGTGGCTCAAGGTGAAAGCCCCGAGTTCAAGCCCCAGTACCACCACCAAAAAAAAAAAAAAGTGGGCCAGAGCCGGGTACCAGTGACTCATACCTGTAATCCTAGCAGAAAGCAGAGATCAGGAGGATTACAGTTCAAAGCTAGCACAGTTAAAATAGTTTTTGAGATCCATCTCAAAAAAGGGCTGATGGAGTGGCTTGAGGTGTAGGCCCTGAGTTCAAGCCTTACTGCTGCCAAAAAAAGTCTCAGTTAGCAGTTGGCAGCTCATGCCTGTAACCCTAACTACTTGGGAGGCTGAGATTGGGATGATTAAAAGTTCAAGGTCATTCTGAGCAAATACTTCTAGAGCAAAATAGACTGAGGTGTGCCTCAACCGGTAGAGTACCTACTTTGCAATCTCAAAGCCCTGTCCCACCAAAAAAAAAAAAAAAGAGAGAGAAAGAAAAGATGGGGGTGCTGAGAAGGCAACAACCACTACCTCTTCTCATTCTCTCCACTCAGTGCCTAGGGCTATCATGTGATCCAGGCCTGGCAATGAGCTTACACTCTGGGACTTGTTCCTTTTGCAGTGCTGGGATGGAATGTAGTGCCTTGCACATGATAGGCAAGAGCTGTACCACTGAGCCCAGCCCCAGTCCCAACCCTGGACTTTGCTGCCACTAACCCAACCTAATGGGAGAGTTTGGCTGTTGCTGTTCCCCTAGGTTTGCTGAACTGCTCAGTCAGCTATCAGCCCATGCCTGATGCCATTTTTGCCACCATGTCACAAAAGCTTGCTGAAGAGTGAAGGCAAAACAGGATGGTAGAGCTAAAGATACAGAATGAGAAAGGAGAAGAGAGCCAGGAAGTACTTGTCCTTTGCTTGAGCACCAGATCCAGCCTTGCCTGCAGCCATCCATCTCTTTTTCTGAATACTTCAGTATCAGAAGTCAATCCTTTACTTAGCTCATAACAATTAGGCAGGGGGTTTTGGCTGGTCGCCAGTGGTTCCCACCTGTAATTCTGGCTACTCAGGGCAGAGATCAGGAGGATCATGGTTCCATGCAAGCCTAGGCAAATAGTTTGCTGAGACCCTTTCAGAAATTACCAACACAAAAAAGAGCTGGTGGAGTGGCTTAAGTGGTAGAACAATTGCTTAGCAAGCATGAGGCTCTGAGTTCAAATCCCATACCATCAAAAGAAAGATTCAAATATATGTAATTAACTTACATCAAAACTCATCTTTTTTGACATAGTATCTCACTATGTAGCCCAGGCTGGCCTTGATCTAACAATCTTCCTGCCTCAGCTGGGATTACAGGTGTGCACCACCCCATACCCAGCTCAAAATTTGCTGTTTTTTTTTGTTTGTTTGTTTGGTGGTATTGGGGTTTTGAACTCAGGGTCTCACACTTGCTAAGCAGGCACTCTACCTCTTGAGACACTCAACAACACTTTTGTGTGTGTGTGTGTTGGGTATTTTCAAGATTCTTGTGAACTATCTGCCTGGGCTGGCTTTGAAACACCACCATCCTGATCTCTGCCTCCCAAGTAGCTAGGATTACAGGTGAGAGCCACCGGTGCCCAGCTATTACTACTTTTTAAAACCCTTGGGTCTTGACCAACTTTTTATAGGATCTTATGAGGATATCCACTGCCCCCAGGCTAAGATCTCCACCTAGAATGGTGCTGTCTGTAGAACTTTCCAGATGATGGCCCTCTTCTGTGCATCCATATTGATGGCAACTAGCTAGGGTAGAGGTTTCTGGATTAGAAGTCTCTCTGGGAGGGTTGAACAGGGTGGATGTAGGGTGTTCAGAAAGCTGCTTCTGCTTGCCAGGTTGGGGCTGCAGGGCCAGAAGAGGTTGGAAGGGCAGCAGGAGGTGCTAAGTGGCCCAAAGTCTGTGTGGCAGCTTTACCTGAGCAATGGTGTTGGGAGAGTGGGGAGTCCTGATATGTCCACGTGGCCAAGACTGGAGCTTCCGTTGCCCATCCTCAGGTCAAGGTGACCCAGCTGAGTCATCCTTGGCCCTCATGGGCTACCCTTGTGGGGTGCATTCTTTGGGAGACAGGAGCCTGAGCACAGGAACCCCAGCTACTGCTGGGCCATCTGGAAGATCACAGCTGAGATTGGCAGGTTGGAGTTATTCTATGGTGGTCACTGGAGGCAGGCTGGAACTCACACCTGGTCATCCTGTGGCAGGTGGGTCTGGGTTGCAGATGGGGCCTGGCAGAGACACAGCCCCATGGAGGGGTGAGCAGAGAGGGGTTCAAGTTACCTGGGCCTTCGTGGGGCCCCAGGCTGGGGATAGAAGCCCTGGATCCTGATAAAACGGTTTCTCAGGGTCATGGGGCAAAGTAGTGAGCTGGGGAAGTTGGTACAACTACAGGTATCCTGGAACCCAGAGGATGGCCTCCCTTGGGGTCCCTCACCCCAGGGCCAGGTGCACCTTGAGGCTCTCCCAGGACATCCCTCCTGTCCCACTTCTCCTGGTGAGAGTTGGTTGGCCTGACTTTAGCCCACCCTCTGTGCTCTGGGCAGCTGGGGATGTAACCTGCAGTGGGGCCTCTGATTGGCACCTCAGGGCAGAGCCTGGGGTCTGGAAGCTAATCCTCTCCTAGCCTAAAGGGACATGAGCCAGGCACCAGTGGCCCACCTATAATCCTAGCTACTGGGAGGATTAAGGTTCAAAGTCAGCCCTGGCAAATAGTTCGAGAGACCCTATCTCGAAAATACTCAACACAAAACAGGGCTAGTGGAGTGGCTCAAGTGATAGAGTGCTTGCCTAACAAGCTTGAGGCCCTGAGTTCAAGCCCCAATACAGCTTAAAAAAAAAAAAGGGGGACATGATGATTTGCGACTTGCCCCACAGAATCCTCCATGGCTGACTCCCTTCACCCTGGGTGAAGGGACACTCTGGGTCTTTTGAACACAGGCTCTCTGAAGGTGACTTTACTGACAGAGCACAGGAATTGCCATCTTGTATCCCCAAACATCATGGTTCGCACCACCTCTGGTGGAGCACAGGCCTCAGCTCAGTGCCTCTGGCTCAGGCAAGCAGTCCCCACATGTAAGGCCAGGTGCAGCCCAGAGCCCCCACCAGCTAGGAAGGGCAAGGCCACAGGAGGAACCACTGGAGCAGAGCAGGGGACAGGGAGGGGCCAAAGGAATCAGCTGGATGCACTGAACTGAGGGGCTCACTGGGCCTGGGGGACAGGACTCTTGGTCCTAAGGGTGGCCCTGGGAGCCAGGGGAGAGGTGTAGGCTATGTGTACTTGGTAGGTATCTACCAGGTGGAGGCCCTAGCCTGGGTGACTGGGGAACGAGGGGTGTTTAAGGAAGTTTCCATCACTGTGGCACCCTCAGCACACTGAGGTAGGGATGTCCCAAGAGATGAGCCCTAGGGACCTGTATCTGTGCTCAGGGAACCAGTGATGGAGAAAAGTGCCAGTTCCTCCCTAAAAGCTGAGTGCCTCCACGCCTGCCACAGAGGGAAACTGAGGCAGAGGCAGGCAGTTCCTCTGCCTTGGAGACCCATCTATCTATGCCCCAGCAGCATCTGCACAAGGTCAGGATGGCGGCTATGGGCTGTGTGGGTTCAGAGGAGGAAGGGCAAGCTCATACACGGGGTCAAACAGTCACACCAAGGTCCAGCCATTTGTCATCAATTTATTGAAGGAAAGTGACCTCCTGGGTAGCTGCCGGCTCTCGGCTGTGGGTCACCAGCTGTGCCCACTGGGTGGGGAGGGGCTGTTCTGACTCGGTCCCACAGGGCTGACCACTAGCCCAGGTCAGCCCTCCTCATACTGCAGGTAGAAGGGAGACCATGTTTCAAGAGCATTTCCCCAGCTGCTGGAGACAGGGCAACCCAGCAACTCACCACATCCAGGCTCCACACGCACACTGCCAGACAAGCCTGCTGGCACCTTCTGTGTGAAGGAGCTTGGGGCAGTGGCCATGAAGACAAGGCTGGCCTCTATGTCGGAGCACCAATAGCCCTGAGTTCACCATGGAGGGACCTCCTGCCAGGTGGGGCCCAGAAGCGAGTGACCCTTCCAGAACTCAGGCCTGCTTTGGAAGGAGAATGGGGATGACCCCAGCAGTGCCCCTCCAGGCCCTGAGGAGGAAAGCCTTGCCTAGAAAGGAGCAAGAAGGGCTGCTCTCCCCCAGATGGGCCTGGCTACCCAGCCTGGTTCCAAGTGTGGCCATGCAATGCAAGCTGGTGCCCCACAGCACGAGACTCTCAGGCAGAGCGTCTGGAAAGAGAGGGGACAGGATGCCATTAGCAACTTGACTGGAGATACAAGTGCTCAGCAAGGCACTCACTCTATACAGGTGCTAGGGCTTCTGGGAGAGTTCCCTTGTCCAGCTGCCACCACACACCAGGCTAAAGTGTTAGCACTTCAGTGGCTCTTGGCCTGCCCTGCCCAGATGTGTGGTCTGAGATCCCATCCTGGTGATGTGTAGCACCTGCTCTAGATGCGCTCCAGCTCCTGGTCTGGCTCAGGCTCCTCCTCCTCATCGTCGTCTTCCTCGTCATCATCTTCATCCACACAGGCTTTGTCCAGTGGTGCCTCGCCATCACGGGCCAGCTCCTCCACATGGGCCAACATGTCAGCCATCAGTGCCTCCTCCAGCCGCTTCCGCACCTGCTGTACCAGCTCCTCCTGCTTCCTGAGGACACAGAGGCTGTCAGGAGAGGCCAAAGCAAGGGCTTCAAGCATGCTTGGCAAGCACTCCACCATGGAGCTATATCCCCAGTCCTGCAAATTTCTTTTACTATCCCTTAAAAGTGTGGAAAGAGAAAACAAAACAAAAAAAACCCTTATGTGTTCAATGCCCTGCCTGAGCAGTGGCTCCTGGCTCCAAGGGCTGGGGCTGGTGCTGACCATCTTTTTGCCTGTTGCCCTCTGGCTGAGAAGCCGACCACCAGCTCCCTTCCCACAGACACCTTCCCCCTGCATGCTTTCTGCCTTTTTAGCCTACTGGGAACTCACCCTTTGTCTCCTTGGCCCCTTCAGGCCCACCTCCTCATGCCTCTCCCTGAGCCTTCTGTGGGTCCCTGTCTGGCTGGGGCACATACTGGCTGCCTCACTTCAATTTAACTATCAGTTCCTCACTATCCAAGATCCCAAACCTCACCAGCTCTGAACTCAAAGACTTCCTACTTCTACAAGTTTTTTGTGGTTGTTAAGTATCCAGGAGGTGTCTCTGCACTGTCTTGTTCTTTTCTTACATTTTCAATTTCTTCTATGATATCCTCTTTACTCCCACACCTTGTGGAGTGTGAACTTTCAACCCAGCTGCATGCCGGTCAGAGCAGACACACTGGCTCACTGTCTACCCAGGATGAGACCCTCTGAGGTCCCAATAATGTGGGGGAGGTGGCATCTAGAGTCCCTTCTTGTCCCTAATAGGAAACCTGCGCTGGACCCCTCTGGATTCCAGTTTCTCCACTGTTATGGATCCCTGGAGCTCCCCTGGCCTGACTTGAAAATGAACCTGGCACTTTCAGGTTAAAAAGTTGCAATGTCTCCTTTCTAGCATTTCTAGATGCTTTCTGCCATGTCCACACAGTCTCTAAGGCAAGTTCAAGTCACCTCTTTTCCAGATGGTTCTAGCATAGGGCCACCCCCGGGACCATTGTGCTCTCCCTGCACTCTAGTACTGGCTCTGCTCTGAATCCCTCCTGATGACCCTCTCCTTGGGACCCTGAGACTGTCTAGTTTCAGCATCAGCCTTCCCAACAGGTGCCCACAGCCATTTACCATGAGGGCAGGGTGCTCTGGCTACCTTCAGTATCAGGTGTCAACACTGGCTGAAAGAACCATTCTCTTTCCAGCCTGTGCTGCATTGCAGACACCTAGTCTGCACACCTGGGCTGGCCCCTTCTGTTCCAAAGCCTAGCAGCATGGACAGACCATGCAGGTTCCCAGTACCTGGGAAGCATGTGCAGGTGCTACAGGGTGCTGGCCCCAGAGCCTGGCTTGGGGGAGGGGAAGGGCTGCCAGCTACCTGATGTCCTCGTCGGTCACCATGAAGGCTTTGCACAGGGGCTGTGTGGTGTTCAGCCACACACCAGGGTTCTTCTCCACTGCGGCTGACAGCTGCCCTGTAATGGGCATGGTGCTGGTGTGCAGGGCGCTGGCAATGGCTGACAGCAGCGTCTCATCAGTGCAGCCTGGGCCCACCCCTGCCAGGGTACAAAAGGGACAGCCAGATGTAGTGCGGTCACAGGGAGCCGAGGAAATGCCGAGAACCAGGCTTCTGCCTTTCCCTTTTGCCTTGGTCTTGGTCCCCAAATTTTCTCATGTTGCCATTACTTTCTTCTTTTCTGTTTTGGTGGTACTAGAGACTGAACTCAAGACCTCCTGCTAGCTGGGCAGGCATTCTACCACTAGAGCCACTCCACTTTGTCACTACTTTAACAGAAAAAAATACCAGCTTGGCTCTCCCTCCTGCAGGGGGACCAGTGTGTGACTTCCAGAGCAGGGACAAAATCAAACATTCCTGCAGGGCTGGTATTTTTCTTTTGTGGTGCTGCAAAGAAACCTGGGCCTCCCATGACTCTTTTCACTGAGTAGCACTTCCAGCCCTGGGCAAGTCTTTTCAGGACACCTGAGGACAAACTGACTCCCCTCTGCTCCAGGGCTCTGGAGGCAGCTCTTCCTCCCTAGAATCTACCCACCCACATTCCCAAGGTCAAGGTTAAGTAAGCAGGGTGTGACCGGAAAGCCCTGGCCCTCCCCTGCCAAGGGACTCCACCTCAGGAAACTGTGAATAGTCATTCCTCACAGCAAGGGAGGGCAGGCCTGGCTCACCTTGCAGGCCCTTGGGCAGGTCCATGGTCCTGACTAGTTCCTCTGCAATGTCGAAGGCACTCAGGCCACTTAGCTTCTTCTCCCAAAACAGCTGTGGAGGGTAGAAAGGCAGCACAAGTCCACCAGGCTGCAGTAGGGACCTGGGCTCCCAGTGCCAGCCACTGTGATTTCCCCGGGAAAGCCTGGGCAAGACCGGGGAATGGCTGGATGGTAGCAGTGGCACATCTCTACTTCAAGCTCCCTGCTTTGTTCAACCAACACACCCAAGTATCCAGTGGGATGTTTGTTAAGTGCAGCAATCACAAATGGTCCTCAAGTTTTTTAGGTTATAAAGTCATCTACCTACCATTTTATTTAAGACATCTGCCCCTACACTGAACCATCTCCTTGAGAAAACAGGAGGCCAGAAGAGGCCACACATGGGGAGAAGGGCAGGGAGGCACTCCAGGGAGTAAAGCCCTGAACTTGCTTTTAAAGGTGGGGACACCTTTAGACCGCACAGTCTCCATACAAGAAAAGGTCCTCACCTGCCGCGGTTGGTCGACCGCCTTCTGCGGGTCGCTCTTCACCTTGTTGCTGGGGTGGTTGGTGATCTTCGTCACTGGCTGCTTAAAGATGGACGCCGTCTGCCGTACAGGCAGCGCTGTGTTCAAGTCAGGCTTGCCCTGTGGGGACAAGGCACTGCAGCGGGCCGCCCAGGCCAGGGTCCACTGAGGGCTAAGGGGACCAGGCGCGTGCTCAGCCAGGGCCACCATGGCAGGCAGGCGCTCAGACTGGCAAAGTCTTGGCTCAGGCGGGCACAGCCCGAGTTCTAAGGATTTTGCGGACCGTGTCCTCGCCATGCGCCTGCCAGTGGCCCAGCTCCTGCGGCACTGCCAGTCCGCACACAGTGAGGGTGAGGGACCGCCTCCTTACGTCACTCTTCCTATGGCTCACCTTGACCTGGTTGGAGGAGTCGTAGCGCACGCGCTGGCGGCTCTTGTTCATCTTGCTCATCAGCATCTTGCCGGTGCGGAAGTCAAAGGTGCTCAGGTCCATGGAGCCCCCCAAGTAGCGTGCCAGCTGTGGCTTGCTGCGGAACTTCTTCCCGCTGGGGCTGCGGGTGGAGGCGGGTCGGCGCAGGCCTGGGGGAGGGGCTCTGAGACCCAGCCCGGCCCCACGGGGAGTCCGAGACCCGCACCACCACTATCCTGAGGGGGGAGACCCTCGACACACCTTGGTGAAGTCCCCCCACCCGGGGCAACCTCAGGATCTACTGCAATCTGTCCCCAGGCCAGAATTAGGTCTTGTTAAGACCCGAGGGCAGCAGGTGGTGGAGGGACAGCCCTAGCCACCCTCCTTCATGGTCACAGCATTGGGGGAGGCAGAAACGGGTGGATGTGCAATGCACTTCCAGGCACCTCTCTCTGGACCTACAGGGTTCCAGAGCTGCAAGGGCTCACCTGAGATCATACTACACAATGGCCAGCAAACTCAAGAGAGCTAACAGATGGATGTCAAAGAGAGTAGCACCTGTGGAAATGGCTACTCCAAGGAGTAGGCTAACTCCACTCCTAGGCATCCACCAGGAGCCATGAAAACCATCCACACTGCTGGTAGAGTGGCTCAAAGGGTAAGAGTGCCTGCCTAGCATGTGTGAGGACTTGAGTTCAAACCCTAGTGCTGCCAATAAATAAATAAATAAATAACCCTGTAATTCAACAAAAAGCTTTATAAGAAATAAAAATATTTGAAACTACATTAAAAAAAAAAATCCACACTGAAACTTGTACTGAATGCTCACAGCAGCATGACACAATGCCCAAAAGGTGGGGACAGTCCAAGCAGCCATGGATGAGTGAACACACATAGCATGGTCCCTCCACGCGATGGAACAGCACTCAGCCAGGAACAGGAAGAGGTTGTGACACACATCATAGTGTGGAGTGACCTTGAGGACATGGTGCTCAGTGAGAGAACAAGACACAAAGGCCCCACAGTGTGTGGCTGTGGGGGCTATGGCTTTCTTTTGGGTGATGGGAGTGTTTAGGTATTGCTTGTGGTGATGGTTACACACCCTTTGGAATGCATCACTGAATTGCACATTGAATTTAAATGGATGAAGCCCAAGGACTTCAACAAAGCCATTCAACAGTTATAAGCACTGTGTGGTATTTACTAGGCCAAGGGTCTTAAACACTTTTACAAACTCAATAAATGGTGGGTGGCTTGACTGTTCCCCACTGAAAACCTCTAGGTCAGGATCCTCCTGCCCTTGACACTGGGGTGGGGATTGGAGGTCAATGAAGAGAATGGATAAGAATCCATTCCAGCCAGGAACAGAGGAAACCCAGACTGTATGGAAATGTTTGGTCATATACTTAGCATGACATACCATAACCCTGTGGGATGGATGCCCTAGACTGGGACACCCATACCAGAAAGTTTAATTTCACACTCTCCCAGGAAAATGGAATGGTTACAGGGGCCAGGCAAGGCTCAGGCACATTTGCTAGGTCAGGGTCTCCCCACCTTCACTCCCCCCAGAACCCACAGTTGCCTGGGGCTGAAAGCACTTAACTGATGTTAAAACAGCCAAGAGGACCAGGGTGGCAGAAGACTTAGACTTTGAGTGTAGCCACAAGGAGGGAAGAAGGACCCCAAGAAATGCTCATCTCCCCTTTTCTGTTTTTCTTATTGCCTCTACTTAAGATGCAGATAACAGGGAAATGGAGACACAGGACTCAGACTAGTGGTGGTTTAAGGGGCTGTGGGAGGGAGCACAGGAGAGTGGAAGTTAAAAGGGTCTAGGTCTTCTTTGTGGAGTGATGAAAATTCTAAAATTGAGGCTGGAGGTGTGGTTCAAGTGGTAGAGTGGTCCTGAGTTCAAACCCCAGTACCATAAAAAAATTATAAAATTGAGTCTAGTAATCTGGTGGTGGCTGCACATATTTGTGAATATACCAAACAAACACACCCAGGCCTACCAAAACAAAAACAAATAAAAACAATGCCTGTTAGGCTTCAAGTAGGTGAGTGAGTCCTACCTCAATAGAGCCAGGACTGTAACCGAGCTACTCAGATGGTAGAGATCAAGATCAGTGTTAGAGGCCAACACAGAGAAAAACAGTTCTCAAGATCCCCTATTTCAATCATTAAGAGCTGGGTGCAGTGATGCACTCCTGTCATCCCAGCTACACAGGGAGCATAAACAGGAGGACTAAAGTCCAGGCCAGCTCAGGCATAAATGTGAGACCCTATTGAAAAATACCTAAAGCAAAAAGCAAAAAAAAAAAAACCATAAAGCACCAGGGTGCCAATGGCTCATGCCTGCAATCCTAGTTACTTGGGAGGCAGATATCAGAAGGATCACAGTTTGAAGCCAGCCCAAGCAAATGGTTTGTGAGACCCTATCTCAAAAAAACCCAACACAAAACAGGGCTTGTGGAGTGGCTCATGCGGTAGAGAACCTGCTTATCAAGTGCAAGCCCCTGAGTTCAAGCCCCAGTACCACCAAAAATAAATAAAAGAAAAGAAAAATACCTAAGGCAAAAAGGGCTGGGAATGTGGCTCAAGTGGTAGAGTACCTGCCTGGCAAGTGCAAAGCACCTCCAATCCCCAGTATCATCCAATAAATAAATGAATAAAATAAATCCAAGACAAAAAGATGTATGGTGCTGGAAGCCGGTGGCTCATGCCTGTAATCCTAGCTAGTTGGGAGGCTATCAGGAAGATAGAGGTTCAAGGTTAGGCAAATAGTTCATGAGACCCCCCATTTCCAAAATAACCAGAGCAAAACAGACTGGAGGTGTACTCAAGTGATAGAGCACCTGCTTTGCAAGTGTGAACCTCTGAGAGCAAACCTCATTTCCACCCAGACCCACCCTCCAAAAAAAAGATGAATGATGGCCAAGGGGTGGGGGAAATGGGCAGTGCTAATGGGACAGCACTTGTTTTGGGGGTGATGAGCTCATGAAATTAGATGGTGGTGATGGTTGCAAAAGTCTGTGAATGTACTAAACACTCCTACAATTAAAAGAGTAACTTATGGAACATGAATTACACCGTAATTTTTGAAAAAGGTTATACAGATCTGTATTGACAAAGATGTCCCTGTTATTTTATTGAATGAAGAATAAACAGATTTAATAAAACCACACAGAAAGCAGCCAACATTCAACCTGCGCTCTTCCATGTCTAGCCCTGAGATTGAGGTGCACCCCAGGCTGCACCTTGGGGGGGGGCACCCTGCATTAGTTTACTATACCTCCTGCAGCAAGAACCAGAAACCACTCTCTCCAGCCCTCTTACAGTGTTTTTTTTAACCGTCAGATTTCTGTGCTCCAGGCTGGGGCTCAGTATGGGGATCCCCAAAGTTGAGTGCTTAGAAGCTCCAGGTCAGGTGGGGATGGGTCAGGCAGGATGACATTGGCCCACTGGGGCTTGGTCCAGCTCAAGCTACACTCAAGCCTTCAGCCTCCTTGGCCTTTGCACAGATATGCCTGCCTGGATCACTCCTCTCTGCTTCAGTCACCTAACCAGGCACACAGTTATCTGCCTCACACATCCCAATGCCTCAGCGCATGCACAGGGAGATGGCTAGAGCCCTCACACTTATCATGAGGGGAGGGACTGCTCTTACTGCCTAGCTAGCTGAATGGCACAGGTACTGAAGAGGCGTTTGTTAATTTAACAAAGGATGAGAGAGGCAGACACAGGCCTGCATCACCTTTGTGTCTGAAAGGAAGACATAGGCAGAGTGTACTGGGAATTGGCTCTGGTGTGGAGGTCAGAACCCTAAGGCTTTATACTTTTTAAGGAACCAGACAAGAAGTGAAATCACCAAAGGCAGAGGGGTTGCAAAGGGAAATGTAGAGACACTAGGAGACACTGCTTGCAGCCCTACCTTGCAATGCCTGATATTGGAAGGGTTACAGCCAGTGATCATACGTCTTTAGAGACCAACAGTCCCAACCTCCTCTTTGCACACCTGCACTTTTTGGAAATAAGAACTTGAGATTGTCCTGGATGAGTCCCCATACTTTTAAATACAAGCTGTCCCTCGCTTTATCTCCCAAAACAGGGACAGCAGAAAAACCAAAGAAAAGCAGCAGTCGACGGATGAGGTGATGTACAGTCCCTCCCTAGCTCCACTCTACTCCCCCAGGCATTCTCTGAGCACCTGCCCGGCACTATGCACGTGGCATGTGCCTGCTCCACACTAAAGCAATGCAGAGGGAGCAATTAAAGCTGGTCCAGAACCAAAAGCATCCTTCTGGCTGTAGAGTGCAGATCAGTGGTAAAGTGCTTGCCTAGCACGCTGGAGGCCCTGGTTTCATCCCCAGTAGAGGGGACAGACATCTTTCGAGAGGAGGGAAAAGACGAACAGCAGGTGGGGTAGGAGGGCCCTGAAAGCCTTAGCCCACCACCATCTACGCAAAGGTAAGTGAATACGGGGCTAGAGAGGAGCTGTCGCAGGTCTCAAGGCTAGGGACACGACCCAAGAGGTATCAGCCTTGGAACATGCTCAAGAGAGAGACTGAGTGAGTGAGCAAGCGAGTGTGTGTGTGTGTGTGTTTAAATCCCCTTAAAACATCGCAGCTGGGAGGCCCAGCCATCTTGGGGAGCTCATTCCCAGGACTAGGGTAGTCCCCGGGATTCGAATTTTCAATCAGGTCTTCCCCGGGCTCCCCCAAAACGAGCCCTGCTCTCCGAAAAACACAGGCTTGGCCACCTGCCTCGGGCTCTACACGGTCCTGGGAGCTCCTCACAGGGGTCCAAAGGGAGAACCCAATCCCCACCCCCGCCTCCCAGCAGCGTCTGGTGACCGTCGGACGCCCCTAGTCAAATATGTAAGGCCTTTCTGCTGTCGGGACAAAAGCCCCCACTGCAGCCCGCCCGCCCACCAAGCAGTCCCACGCCAGGCGGAGCGCACGCGCACTGGGCTGCCTAGCTCACACGCACGACGCACGTTTGCACGCATGACGCACGCCCGCGGCCCAGGCCGCGGCCCAGGACAGGGGCGCCCAGGTCGCCGCAGAGGCCGCTGGGAGGCGCCCGTTGGGGCCCTGCGCGGCCGGCGCGCTCATTCACCTATAGTAAAAGACATCCCTGTGGCCGGCCGACAGCCCCGACCTTCTGGGCACTTCTTCCCTCTCCCAGCCCTGCGGGAGCGCCGGGCACTCCCACCTCTTCCGCTCCATTGCACCCGGCTCCTCGGCCCGCCTCCGGGCCCGCCGCCGCCGCCGCGACCCCCGCTCGTGGTCACCGCCGCCTCAGCTGCCTCCGCCGCCGCCACTTGCTGCGGCTGTTCCTGCCCGTGCGCCCCCGCCCTCCGCCCCCAGCCGGGCGTGCGCCGGCTTTGCCGCCCTCTCGGCCCCCTCCCCGCGCTCGCCAGCCCCCGCTTGGGGGGCCGCTCCGCCCACCCGCCCGCGCGCGGGGCCTGTCGCCCGTCTGCGCAGCCGCAGCGCCGGCCCCGTCCCCGACCGCACTCAGGCCCAGCCCCGAGACGACGAAGCCAATCAGCGCGTAGTGGGAGGCGGGACCTCTGAGCGGGGTGCGCGTGCGCTCTCAGTATCAGTGCGCTATCCCAGATGGACTATCGGTGGTGCGCCGTGGGCGCTAACACAGCGCTCTAGTCCCTTGTCTGGGGTCACTTTTTCTCGGCCGGGGTCTTTCTCCGCAGGCCGCAGCTCCCGCCGATGTACACCTGGCAGAGAGACTTTTCCCTACGTCCGCGCCTGGTCCTTCCGCCGGAGACTGAGGGATCTCCTTCCAGCGCCGGGACTCGACTCCTGCTGTCCTCTGATATCCCAGACTCCAGGCTCGTCCAAATCCCGAGGCTATGTTGGTAACTTCCCTCCCTATCTCAAGTCTCACCCAACACTTCGTTTCTTTTTTAATTTTTCCAGTGTTGGGGACCTAACCCAGGGCCTTGCGCATGCTAGGCAAAGCGTCTGTCACTGAGCTACATACACCCTTGGCCCTCTCAATACTTTTCTGAACCCTCAAAATCCTGCCTCTCTATGTCTCCACCTTAGTACAGCACCTCTTTTCCTAGAGGGCTCCAGAACTTCCCCACTCCAGCCAGAGGAATGGGAAGGGGGTCACTCTCACTTGGTCCCCACCGGCTGCCTTGTTCCCCTCACACAGCCAGCCTGGTCCGCCCAGAGTAGGTTTACAAGAAATGAACTGCCTTTCCTCTGCTGCCACCTGAAGTAGTTTCCCAGGTTTTAATGAGCCCAGCGCTGACATTGGGTCCATCCAAAGGTCAAAAGATGAAACTAGAACCAATTTGGCTTAAAGATCCTATTTGGCTTTTATGTGCCATCCTACACTTGGTATTAGTAAAATGCTGAGAATTAGGAAGCTTTTCTTTCCATTTCTCTTTTCTTCTAATTTTGGCGGTACTGGGGTTTGAATTCAGGGCCTCACAGTTGCTAGGCAGGTGGTCTACCACTTGAGCCACTCCACCAGTCCTGTTTTGTATTGGGCTTTTCGAGATATGGTCTCCCGAACGACTTTCCTCAGGCTGGCTTCAAACCGCCATCCTCCTGATTTCTGCCTCCTAAGTAGCTAGGATTACAGGCATGAGCCACCAGCACACGGCTTCATTTTTCTTTTTTGCTGTACTGGGATTTGAACTCAGGGCCTGGCATTTGCTACACAGGTGCTCTACTGCATGCCTCCATCCCTAAGGAAAGCTCCAACCCCCTCCCCACCACCACCTCTTTAAGAGACAGGATCTCTCTGCAGCCCCTACTGGCTGGGAATTCTGAATCTTCCTGCTTCAGTCTCCTGAGTACTAGGAGTACACATGCCAACACTCCTGTTTTTTGGGGTTTTTCTTTTTGGTGGGACTGGAGTTTGAATTTGGCACTCTTCTGCTTGAGCCACACTTCTGTTTCAGTTATTGTGGAGATGGGGTGTCATGAACTATTTGCACTGGGTTTGCCTGGAACCTCCATCCTCCCTATCTCAGCCTTCCAAGTAGCTAAGATAACAGGCATGAGCCACTGGTGCTCGGCTTAATTTTTAAATGGTCCATTCTAAGCCATCTCCAAAAAATAACCAGAGAAAAATGGACTGGAGGCATGGCTCAAGCAGTAAAGCACCTGCTTTGCAAATGTGAAGCCAGGAGTTCAAACCCCAGTCCAAAAAATAAAAATTAATCTGGCCCATTCCAGGACTGGGTCTGGGTAAGTGGAGGGTAAACAGAATATTTTGTGTTGGAAAGTAGGATACAGTAGATAACAGTTGTTGGTGAGCAAGTGGAAAAATTGTGGCCTTCGTGCTTGGCTGGTGAGAACATACTAAGGTGTGGCAGTTGTGGCAAACACTTCAGTGGTCCCTTGAAAAGCTAGGCACAGTGCCAAATATAGTCCAAGCTTGCCTATAGTCCAAGCTACCCAGGAAACAGGCAGCAGGCTCACTTGAGCCCAAGAATTTGAGATCACCCAAATTCCAAGTGAGGGAAGGAGGAGAGTTAAATATAGAAATTCCACTCCTAGGTGTTTCAACACATAAAGGAATTGAAAGCAGAGGCTCAAATACTTGTCTGTAAATCTCATAGCATTATTTACGGCAGCCAAAAGGTAGAAACAACACAGGTGTCTACAACAGATGAATGGGTATGCACAGTGTGGTCCATCCTCAAGCTGGACTATTACTCAGCATGGAAAGAATGAGACTGACACAGGCTGCAGTGTGGAAGGACCTAGAGGACATTGTGCTCAGCGGGAGAAGCACAGACACAAAAGGTCCCATAGTGTGTGGCTCCACTGACAATAAATATCTAGAACAGGTGAATTCAGAGACAGGAAGTGGACTCATGGGTGCCAGTGGCAGGGGACACGTGGGAGTTAGTGTTTCATAAGGGCAGAGCTCAGTTGGGGAAGATGAAAAAGTTCTAGAGGTGGATGGTGTTGACAGCTGCCCAGACATGTGCATGTGCTTAATGCTACTGAACTGTGCATTTAGGAAGAATTGCCAGCAGGTGCCAGTGGCTCACACCTGTAATCCAAGCTACTAGGGAGGCAGATCAGGGGGACTGTGATTCAGGGCCAGCCCAGGCAAATAATTAGCAAGATCCAATGTTGAAAATACCAATACACAAAAAAGGGCTGGTGTGGTGGCTCAAGCAGTACAGCACCTGCCTAGCAAGCATGGGGACTTGAGTTCAAGCCCCAGAACCATTCTCTCCCCAAAAGAATCCCCTGATGGAGCACTGACTGCAGGCTGCCTGACCCCTAGCAGTGAGACCCTCCTGCCTATTTCTGGGTGGGGAACCAGGGAAGGGAAGGCAGATAGCTCCATGTGGCAGCCCCCAGGTGCCTGTAGGAGTCTGGGAAATCATGTAAGCCCAGTGTGCTAGCAGGATCAAGATAGCCTTACTATATCCATGGACTCCACCATAACAACTCACCATTTTCCCCACTACTCATTTATTCAGGAACTTATCTCTAGCAGCCTACATTTTCAGGCATTTACTTTACAGTATATTAGCCATTACTTTTACTTTGTTGTTCAACTTGTCCTGTCCATGGGCTTCTGTGTAAAATTAATGTGCTTTTTTTTTTGTGTGTGCGACTGGGCTCATTTCCTAAGCAGGTGCTTTATCACACTTTACCACTTTAGCCATGCCCTCAGCCATTTTTACTTTAATTATTTTTCAGGGAGGGTCTCAAGTTTTGGCCCAGGCTGGCCTCTGCCTTGGATGGAGATCCTCCTACCTATGCCTCCCAAGTAGCTGGGATTACAGGCACATACCACCATGCTGGCTAGTCTCCCTCTCACTATATATATCTATTTAAATCTATCATTTGTTTTGGAAATGTTTTTGAAGTGCTGAGGCTTGAACTCAGGGCTTCATGCTTGCTAGGTTCTACTACTTAAGCCACATCTCCAGTTCCAAGCTATTTTTTAACATAGTGACATTTGCAACATACTGTTGTGTACCTGCTTTTTAAAAAAGTTACAGCCTGTTTCTTGGTGTCATATTCCATGTAGATAAACACAGAACGTTCTCATTTATTATTCAGCCACCTAGTAGCCCAGCCAGCATTTGGTAACTGTTCTGTTACAGAGGGACATTCATATTTTGTCATCTGCTTTTACAGTGATATCCTTGTAGTGACATTATTTCAGATATAGGTATGTTAGATAAATTCCTAAGAAATGAATTGCAACATGAATTATTTAACATTTCCTAACATACTTCTACCTGTAGCCCCTCAAAGCACTCCATCCTCATGCGCTGGCCTTCCCCACTGTCTGCCTCAGGAGGTGGAGCTCATTTTTTTTCTGGGCACAGCCTGGGCACATCAACGCAATAGCTGTTTTCCAAGATATGCTTACATATACATAGAACATTTCTGGAAGAATTTTCAAAAAATTGGCAAGAGTTGGAGAGAACTGGGGCTTGAACTGAGGACCTTCACCTTGAACTATTTCACCAGTTCTATTTTTGTGATGGGTTTTTTCAAGATGGGGTCTCACTATTTGCCCAGACTGTCTTTGAACCATGATCCTCCTGATCTCTGCCTCATGAGTAGCTAGGACTACAGGTGTGAGCCAATGGTGCCAAGTTCAGGAGGTGGAGTTCTGAGTGCTGGACCTTGGCTGATAAGCTAAAGCAAAAAGGACTGGGGGCATGGCTGAAGTGGTAGAGCACTTCCCTAGCAAGCAGGAGGCTGAGTTCAAATAACAGTACCACCCAAAAAAAAAAAAAAAAAAAAAAAAGACAGCTGATACGGACTAGGTGTTGTGTCCGTTAAACTCATATACTGAAAACACTAACCTCCACTGAGATGATCTGAAGATGAGACCTCTAGGGAAGTGATGGAGGTTCAATGAGGTCCTAAGGGAGGGGCCCTGATCCCACAGATAGGACTAGGGTTTGAATTCAGGGCTTCATTCTTGCAAAGCAGGCGCTCTACCATTCTACCACTTCAGCCACCCATTTTGGTCTGGTTATTTTGGAGATGGGTGTCTCACAAACTATTTGCCTGAGCTGGCCTTGAACTGTGATCCTCCTGTTTTCAGCCTCCCAAGTAGCTAAGGATTATAGGGATGAATCACCAGCAGCCAGCTCAGACCTTGATTTTGTACCTCCAGCCTCCAGAATGGTGAGGAAATATGTCTATTGTTTAGGCCACATGGACTGGGCTGTTTTCTTACACAGCCTGGGCACTTCAACACAATAGCTATTTTCCAAGATATGCTTACATATACATAGAACGTTTCTGGAAGAATTTTAAAAAAATTGGCAAGAGTTGGAGAGAATTGGGCAAGATTATACATGCTCACTTTTGTACCTCAGGTGATGGTTTAAAAATATAGATCCTGAGGTGAGGGAATAGCTTAGTGGTAGAGCATCTGAAGGGTTCTAGGATTCTATGTTCAGCACTGAAAAAAAAAAAAAAAAAAACCCTAATTCTCCTCCCCTTATGTAGGCTGGACTTACAGTGCAAAGGAAAGGACAGAGTGTGACTTCTGAACATCATTTACAAAAGCACTGTGCTCCTCCTCCTCTTCCCCAGTGCCAACAGCCATGCTGTGAGGAAGCTCAGGCACAGGTTGCAGCTCAGGCCTCCATTGGCACCTACAGAAGGTATGGCCTCATCAGCTGCACCCCAGCAGATGCCATGACAGCAACCTACTGAGACCCTGGGCCCAAGTCCTTTATTCACAGACACTGGAAGATTAGGAATGTTGGTTGCTTTAAGTCATTAAAAGCTGGGTGTGGGGGAGCTCACCTATGAACTCAGCACTCTCAAGATGGAGGCAGGAGGATGGAGACTTCCAGGGCAGCCTGGGCTACATAGCAAGACCCTGTCTCCAAACAACAACAACAACAACAACAACAAAACTATGAAAGCTGTGGGTACCTTGTAAGACAGCAATAGATGAATACACAGACACAGGTGCAGTTATTATCCACTAGAGTTTGAAACACTGTAACACACGTCAGCTCTGGAAAAACCCTGTATTGCAAACTTTTGGAATTGAAAGGACCCTTGGGTCACCTGAGCCTGGGACACAGTGGAGGAAAGAAATCCAGGGCAGGACAAGAGCCAGGCAGATTGCAGAGGGATTTAATGCTACATGCATTAGAACACCAACACATCAATGCTGTTCAGCAATGAGGGTCCCCAGCTGCACTGTGGATTTCCTCAGGATCCATCATCAAGGCTTGGGCTGTTCTGGATGCAGCAGGCACCGAGGTGGGAGAAGATGACACCAACAGATATCTGGGGGAAGGGACAAGGTAGAGTGAGCAGTCTGTGTAGTGGCCAGAGAACTCCAGCCACCAGCCTCACTGAATTCGTGGATGGTTCCCAACTCCAAGTTTGGGAAGGTGAATGGAGCCCAGAGCCAGAAGTGTCTCTGGTTCACAAGCTGCCTGGCACTGGGGCTGAGGTTGCTGTTCACACAGTCTGTCATGTGGACAATGAAGTAATGGTACAGGCAAAGTTGTCAGTATGGCTGGCCCAGGGAGGTGGCAGCAGGGATCAGCCTCAACTTTACTTCCTGCAAAATGGGTCATCTTCATCTTGCTCAGTACTGCAGTGCAAACTCTACACTCAGATGGGGCTGAAGGGGGCTGTCTAGCTTGGAGGGACAAGGCTCACCTTAAGTCTTATGACCACAGCTATGAACTAGGCTGCTAACTCTGTGCCACCCAGTGGGGTGTCCCAAGCTCCACCTCTGTGCAGGACCATCCAGGGTGAGCAGTCCTAGGAGTCTGAGACCTTCTGCTCTACCTTCCAGTCACCTCTTGGCCAACCAACTCACCCATTCATTTGAAAGCTTTACTCACCCAGTTAATCCTCCTTCTTAAACTTGCCGTTGATGTATGGCACCCAGTCCAGGATTAGCCGCCAGTCAGTGGCCCACACCAGCCCCACAGCACCCACAGTGCCCCACATGCTGGCTGTGGGGACCCTGCAAGGACAGCAACAATTGGGTCCTGTTCAGGACTGTCTCCTGCCCCCACTTAGGTGCCGTTCTGGAGAAGCCCCACACATTCTGTGACCTGCTGTGCTGTCAGCCCCCAGGGAGCTCAAGCTTAGAACAGGGTCATCTAGCCCCGAGCTGCTGTTTCCCCAAGAGCCACCCCCTTTGCCTTTGTCTAAGCACCCGCACCCCAATTTCCTTTCACATTGCATTAGGGTTCTAGTTAAGGTTTTTGTTTTGTGGTGCTGGGGATAAGCCCAGGGCTGTGTGCATGCTAGGCAAGTGCTAGTAGCTTGGGCCCAACCCCCTCCTTTTTTTTTGTGTGTGTTACTGGGGTTTGAACTCAGGGCCTACACTTTGAGCCATTCTACCAGCCTTTTTTGAGATGGGTTTTTTTCGAGACAGGGTCTTGTGAACGATTTGCCCAGGCTGGTTTTGAACTGTGATCCTCCTGATCTCTGCCTCCTGAGTAGTTAGGATTACAGGAGTGAGCCACTGGCATCCAGCCCCCTTTTGATCAGCACATAACTGTATACATTCACAGGGCACTGTGATGTATGCAGTGCCATGACTAATCAAGCAAAGTTCACATGTTTAAGGTTCCATGTGAGGAATTCTGCTGCTGAAAGACAAAATCAAGTCTGCAATCCCTGAGAGAACAGGTGCTATCTGAACATAGGCATGTTGTTTTCCACAGCCCCTGTGACCTGATCCTAGGCCACAGCAGGCCTGAAGATCACAGTCCCTGAGCAGGAGACCAAACAACAGAGAGGGGGATTTGCTCATTTGAGGATGCACAGCCTGGGAAGCACAGACCTCCACGCTTTCAGAGTGAACTCCTGTCCATCACAGCAAATACTACCAGGGCTTTCCCAAAGGTTGCATTTGTACTCCCTGGCTGGCAGGGTGTTAAGAGGGCCTAGAAGTACCAGCTCCTGATACTCCCTCACAGAGTGTGTAAGGGACTCACTTCTAAGTAACAGACCACAGCAGAACTATGGACATGGCTTCCAAACCTCACTTATAAAAAGGCTGTGGCTTCTATCACAGCTGCCCATGCTGCCATGTTGTGAGCTGCCCTTGCCCAGCCACTGAGAAACCAACCAACAAACACTTGAGTGAGCCCAGAAAGGGGCCTCTCCAGCTGAGCCTTCAGATGAGACCGAAGCCTAAGGAGAGACACTGATCCGAGGGTTTGACCCAACCCACAGAACCTGTGAGAAAATTAACATTGTTTGTTTGAGGCAGGGTTTCACTATGTAACCCAGGTTAGCCTTGCTAGGCTAGCCTCCAACTCACAGTCTTTCTTGCCTTTACCTTGAGATTACAGGTGTGCAATGCCATGCCTAGAACATTGTTGTTTTATGGTGCTAAACTTGGGGACCATTTGTTATACAGCAGTGAATAACTGACAGGTCCCATTGTTGGAGGAAGGGGGTTGGAATTTGAAGCCAAGACCCCATTTACTAGGCCATAGTAAGTCTTGTTCCGGGGACACTGGAGGAGCTTCTACTTGAGATGAGAAGGAGATAAGCAAGCCTGGCCTGCCCTGCCCCGCCCCAAGCTGTCTCACTGGAAACAGCACCCTGAACACAGGTTGGCCCCCTGCTCACACTCCATGGTCCACACAGTTCAGTTTTGTTCCTCAATGGAGTCACCACTGCCACTGGAACATGACTTTGGGCATGGGCCACCAAGAGTGGAAATGCTTACTCTACTAGTGCAACAGCTTTGTAGGTGATTATTTATCAGAAGACTCTTCCCCTTGAGGTAAATATGCTGGGCCAATCAGATTCTGCTTCCTCCACTGTCCTGGTCATGACTTTTGGGATCATGTGGACTTGCACAGGAAGTCCTGTAAACCTGAGCTTCACCAGGTGCCAAGAAAAACAAAAAATGATGGACATGCTGACTACCCTGCAGAAACCTCCCTCTGCTCCCCTTTCCCAGATCAACCACACTGGGACTTAGTGGGATTGTGAACAGCAGGGTAATGAGCAGAGACCCTCCAAGTCTCACACAAACTCATAGTGTATCCTGTGGGGGACACCTACTTCTTGGCCTTCCACAGCCAGAAGCTGATGAATCAGGAATGCAGGGTTCCTCTCTCAGGTGCATGCACCCCCTCTTCCCCCATGTATCTCATTTCCTTTCTTTTTTGGAAGTACTGGGACTTGAACTCAGGGCCTCATGCTTCCTAGGCAGGCGCTCCACAACTTGAGCCATATCGCTAGCCCTTTTTATGTGGTGGGTATTTTTGAAATAGGGTTTTTTTGCCTGGGGTGGCTTGGAACCGTGATTCCTCCGATCTCTACCTCCAAAGTGGCTAGGATTACAGGCATGAGTCACCAGTGCCTGGCTCAGATCTCATTTCTTTTTCTTGCCTATCAGCTAGAATGTCAGCTCATGATGGCTTATGGCAGGGTCTCCAGTACATAGCAAGTGTTCAATAAACATCTGTGGAACACAAGCATGAATGGGGGTGGGCATAGTTCAGACCAGGTACGGATGGAAATAGAGGTACCAGGCCAGGGAGATGGACTTCTCAGCTGGATGCCAGGGATGGCCTTCCTCACTCAACAACCCAGGTGTCAAAGACCACCATCAGTTCTCACTCTACACACCTCATTCCAACCCTGCCAGGTATAAGTCCTTGTTTCTTAGCACCCCACATGAACAGCAGGCGATCACAGCCCAAATCACTGCAATCCCATCCTGCGTCCCACGTTAAGTTCAGAGACAGTTCTGTTGTACTCCTTATTGAAAATGACTTAAATCATGCTAGCCTAGCATGCTAGAAGCCCTGAGTTCCATCCCCAACACTTAAAAAATTAACTGAAAAATTAAAAAGCCAAAGCAAAGCACAAGTTGACAGGACCAGTTTCAGGCCTAAGGATGCAGAGTTGGTAGAGCCGGTCCAGAATTGCAGAGCACGCGGGTGGCTGCCCAAAACACCGCGCCTCCTGAGCGTTTTTGTTCAGCTGGCACCACTAAGCTCCCCAGCCACAGGGAGAGAGAGTCGGGGTCTGGTACCGGATCCTCCATCTCTGGGGCTCTCAGACACGCAGCGGTTCGCCCTGTCCCCGGTCACAACAGAGCCGACTGCAGGGGTGCAGGAGGGGGGCGGGGGGCGGGTGGGGAGGTGACCTCACCAGTTCTTGACCAGCTCCCGGTAGCGCGGACCCAGGAACCTGCTCAGCATCGCCGTCAGATAGCCTCAGGGTCACCCTGTCCTGCACCACGCATGCGCGACTGCAACGCGCATGTGCACAAATCGCCTCGTGCGGGGGCGGGCCTCCCCATGTCTGACGGCTGCGTGCGCAGACTCGGAAGATCTTTAGTTACTTCCGGGAAGGTCGGAAGACCTTCACACACGAGGGAACTATGGGCTATGGGCTGGACTTTCTGAACAAGGGATCCCGAGTGACTGGTTCTCAGGTCTGGTAGTCAGCTCCAACCAGCGCGGCAGGTAGCAATTAGCTCACTCTGGCTTATGCCGTTTGACGTTTGGAGTGGCTTTGTGCCCTTCAGTACGTGTCCGAACGTTATTTACGCTGAAGGAAACTGAGCCCAAACGAGGAAGAGTCACACAGAAGAGAAAGGCTGGGATATGAACATGTTAACAGGTGTTATTGGCTTGTCGTTGTACTTTGACCACGTGGTAGTGTCACCCTGAACCTGTTTGCTCATCCTGAGTTTTTGCTTGGAGGCCCCTTTGTGTGCATTTCTATTGGAGAGCCTTGGTGATTCCTCCTTGCAGCAGAGAGGCCTAGCACCTTGCCCAGTTGTTATGGCAAACGGTGCGTTCCAAATGGAAGAATCCAAGCAGAACACGTGGATAGGGTGAGGTAAAATAGTTTTCTTGAGGGAAGGGGAGTCACCTGTTTTGCCAGGTGAGGAAAGGGAAGAAGGACCAGGGTCTCTTGGTAGATCATCTCTTTATACCACCTTGAAGGTGGAGATGGGAGACAATATCTCATCACCTGGCTCCTCTCACCTGTGGGCTAGGAGGAGGAGCCCTTGAGTCAAGAGGGGGAGCAGTCCCAGATATCCCTGACCTAACCTGCCACACAGTGACCCCTGCTGTCCCTCCTTGATCACTTCCTACTGCTTAGGCTTGCTTTTCTCCAGTCCCTGCCTCCTCTGACCTCCCAGAACCTGACACATCCTAACTTCCCAGTAAACTCCCAGCTTCCAGCCCCCACCTGGACAGGTGTGGGTAGAAAGAAGGGGGACAAAGTGTTGGATGTGCCATCACACCATTATGCCTTTTCCTCCACTACCGCCTCCTTCAGGGAGCCCCAGGCACCTGGAAAGAATGGACAGAAAGGCGATAGCCTTTCTGAGAGGCTCATGAGAGTCTGGGTGTTATTTGTCCTTAGGGTCCCAGTGTTGCAAGTGGGGATGATAGTAAGGGACAGACCTTGGGGTTTGCTTGCCCAGCCCTAACTGTGCTCCTGGGGCCTAGCTCCTGTGACTCTCCTCAGAGCTGCAGGTTTTGACATGCTGATGTCCCTGAGACTGATGTAGAAATGGTAATAGAAGCTCCAGAGGTGTGCACTGCAATTGGGTTGGACATTATTTGTAGATTTTTCCATGCTCTGGAGTTTTTGGTGCTTGGGATTGGAAATCACCTGGATGAGACTGTGCTGTTGGTAGAAATTTAGCAAGTGGGATGTAGAGGCAGTCATGAAGACTATTACGAGAGAGAATAAAGCAGCTGAACAGGTGAGTGGAGATGGGCACAGGGCCTGAGAGCTACAGGTCCTGGATCCAGCTACAGCTTCATTGTTGCTCCTTCTTTTGCCAAATAATGATGCCTGATTACAGGGAGGGGTCTCATCCCAGGGGCAGTTCTGCCCCCAGGGAACACTGAGTAGTGTCTGGGGACAATAATGGTTGCTGCAACTGGGGGTGCTCCTGGCATGGAGTTGGTGGAGACCAGAGTGCAGAACCACACAAGAAAACGGACACTTGGACATGGACAAACTGATGCCTTACAGTGTAGACACCAAGGGCGTGGAGAATTCAAGGCCAGCCTTCCTGACCCTTCCACCCTTTCCATTCATAAACATGCCATGTCTGATAGACTCAAGATAGCCAAGGTCATTGTAAAATGTCACATTTAGCTGGGTGCCAGTGGCTCACGCCTGTAATCCTAGCTACTTCGGAGGCAGAAATCAGTAGGATTGTGGTTCGAAGCCAACCTGGGTTCAAGAGACCCTATTTCAAAAATACCAAACACAGGGCTGGCAGAGTGGCTCAATTGGTAAGAACACCTGCCTAGCAAGCATGAAGCCCTGAATTCAAATCCCAGTGCCACCAAACAAAACAAAAACACACAAAAAGGACTGGTAGAGTGCCTGCCTAACAAGTATGAGTCCCTGAATTCAAATCCCAGTACCGTCAAAAAAGTCGTATTTATTGTCACACTGCTGTTAGACACAGGGCAGCCTCCAAATTGACTTTAAAGAGGGTCATTTGAAAAACTCCAAACAACCCAGCTAACTGTGTTGATGTGTATAAATTTTTTCCCCATTTTTATTAGGATGTATTTGTTGTACATTGTGACAATTCCAAATAGCCTTACATTGTACATTAGTTAGGCCATCCCCACCAGGTCCCCCAAAATCTTTTTTGAAAACCAGTTCTTTTGAGGCACTCAGAGCGATTTCAGTACCAGTGGTTTTGTCCCACCACCCCTTAGGCTGGGCTAATCTCATCTCATGTAACTTACACATATAATTCACACTTCCATAGTCTATGGAGCTGGTGTAGGAATCTGTGCCACTGCCTGTCTGGACCCATGAAAAGAAATATAGGGCTGGTGTAGTGGCTCAAGTGGTAGAGCATCTGCCTAGCAAGCATGAGGCCCAAAGTTCCAACTCCAATACTGACCTCCTATTTGACTATTATGAGATTGTTTGCTTAGGTCAAAAGAGAAAAGTAAATATTGCCAGGCGCCAGTGGCTCACACCTGTAATCCCCGATTTCAGGAGGCAGAGATCAGGAGGATCATCGTTCAAAGCCAGCCCAGGTAGTTTTCGAGATCCTATGTCAAAAAAACCCTTCACAAAAAAGGGCAATGGAGTGGCTTAAGGTGTAGGCTCTGAGTTCAAACCCCATTATTACAAAGAAAAAAAAAAAACGCAAAATAAGGAACTGTTAGATAGAACCCACACAGAGGAGGGAGAAATCACCAAAGGATTCACTGTCCACAGACCTGTCCTGGGAGTAGTGTGCATCAAGGCTGTGGAATGGGGAGGACCCAGGTGATGTGAGGTCACTGGATCCTCTCACCTTCAGGTGCCTATAGGATGTCCCTTGACATTGGGGCCCCAGCTTTCCCAATGCTGGTCAATTCCAGACAGTCCCGATTCTCTTGGGTGAGTGCATGGGTCTTGCCTCTGGAGGAAGCCTTGTGGGAGGAGTGTAAGATGCTGGGGCTACAGCTTGGGAGACCATATAGTCTCTATGCCAGGAACAGAAGGGAGGAAAAATAGGCTGACCCCACAGCAGTGACCAACTGTCCCCATGTGCTAGGGATGGTGTATGTATGGGGCTATATATGAGACTTGCAGTTTAGAACTAAGGCAGTCAGTTCTAAGCTGGCACCAGGACAAAGGATCTCAGACCCCAGAGTGGTCCACCCCCTTGGTTTTATAGCTGGGTAGCAGTATAGTCAGACTGGAGACTTTTCTGAGGCACAGGGACAGGGATCTACCTGCTCCCTGCTCTGGTTACACTGGCTATTGGTCCAAGGGTAACTGGCCTGACCCTGGATGCTTCCAATAATGGAACGCTGGCTGGCCTTTACACCACAATGGCTGTCTGCTAAGGCAGGAATATGCTGTCATAGGTGCGTATTTTGTGTTGGCTGGTCCCCCACCAAAGTCCAGAGAAAAAGCTGGGGTCCCTGGGCTAAAGGAATGACAGAGGATTGTCTAGTGGCTTAGTGTGGTCTTTGATCTTGACAAAATCCCCCACTCCAGGGATGTGTTTAGGTTTCAAGGGAGAGGGATTTGGGGTCCTGGGGAGGGTGTGGCTGGTGCCTTGAGGGACCAGACTTGCTGTGGGTGTTCTTTGGTGGCCTGCTGGCCTGTCCCTTCCCCACAAGGGCAAAGTAGGTATGAATTGAGGCCAGCCTATTCCAGAGGAAGACAGAGGATGGGGAGGGGACCCGCTTGCAACTCTGGCATAAACTCAAGGAAGACCCCAGTATCTGGCAAAAAAATGATAAGGGGACACAGGCTACTTGTGCTCTACACAGTTTCACGTGGCTCGGGTGGGGAACCTCAGATCAACGTTGGGTGCTTTCAATACAATTTTTAATAATCTGGTTGATCATGAAATGTAACGCTCACTTCTAGAAACAGCAAGAGACATGACTTTTATACAAAAAAATTTGTTGCTTACAAAACATATGCAAAAGGAAGCTAAAAAAAAAAAAAGACACCAAAGGCATCATTCTTGCTAATTTTCTTCTACGTTAAAAAAAAAAAATCTCATGACTAATGTTTTTATTCTTCTTAAAAAAAATATTATGCTTAGGCACAATTTGCTGGTGGCTCTCATAGAACAAGCCAGTTCTGCAGGGTCACCCTTGTCCAGGTGACAGGTTTCCACTTCACTTTATACAGTTAAGGCATTTTCTGACAAAGTGTATCTTTTGTTGCGTTTGCTTTCTGGTTTTGTTTACGCAAAGGGGAGGAAAAAAAAAAAAAAAAGACTCCCTTTAGTCAGGTCACTGGGGTCTCAGGACCATGGAGCGGATCACACGCCAAGGCGGCTACATGGGGAGCAGGTGAGACCTGTCTCCCCAGAACCCCGCATCCGTCTGAGCCTCACCGTGCGGGCTCAATGTTGATGACTGAGGTGAATCCCTGACCCACTTCTCTGTGCCAAGCTGGTACTGGGCAGGACCTTCTCAGGCTGAGGGTGCAGATTATGGCCAGTTCCTTGTCCCATGGCGCTGCCAGTGGCTGCTCACAGGTGCCCAGCAGGGTTGTGGGACTCACTCAGGCCCGGGTGTGTGGCTGAGAGGGCCATCTGGGGGTCCCCAACCACACCAGACACTTTCTCCTCCTCTCGCCGCTTCAGGCAGGCTGCTTTGGGGTTCAGGTTTCGCTCTGGGGGAAGAAGAGTGCAGTGGGAGTCGGTCCAGGGACAGGGGTGGCACAGGGCAGGGCCTGATAGCACCCCGCTTCCACTTACTCCTCCCAGAGGACATGGGGAGTTTGGGGTGTAGAGACCAAAAGTCAGGGTGCAGCACAAGCAACCACAAACTCATCAAGAGTCGCAAGCCTGAGCCGCGGCCTGGCATCCGTGGAAGCAGGACGCAGGCGATGGGGACGCCGGCCTGGGAGCCTACCTCGCACCTGCTGCTCCAGGCCCAGGATGACCTGCACGGCCTGCTGCAGGATCAGCAGTTTGGTCTGCGCCTTGTCCGACTTGAGGTGCAGCTGGCACATGCGTCCCAGCTCCCGGAAGGCCTCGTTAATGTCCCGCACACGCACCCGCTCCCGTGCGTTATTGGCCATGCGCCTCTCCCGGTCCCTCAGGTCTTTCTCTTCCAGGGACAGCACCTCGTCTGTACTGCTGGGTCACAGCACGGGGCCTCTGTTAGTCAAGTGGGGGCAGGCTGGGTGGAGCAGTGTGGAAGGGCTGCTGTGTGGCCCTTGTATGTATGGCAATGCAGGCGATGTGGGAGGGGCCGTAGCATCGTGATTGAGAGCTGCTGAAAGAGTACTGCCTGTGTGCACACGGCCACATTCCCATGGAGGGTGGTGACTGGGCACTTTGTGTACAGGTGACTATAGCACGTGTGTACCCTCAGACCCAATTTCCCAAGCTGTGTGAATGCTTCCTAGATGCTCACCCCATGTGCCCCATGAGCTGGCCCCTGTAGCTGTGACTCCCTGCAAGACAACCTCTCCATGCAGAGCAGTGGCATGCTGGGTGATGGAGCGCCGGGCCTGGCCTGTCTAGGGTGGAAGTGGCAGAGCCCTGGACCCCCCACAGCTCAGGGCTGAAAGGTCCGAGACCCTGAAAGTCATGACGCATGAGGAGCTTTAGAAGCACTGTCTGTCATGGTGGACGCTGGCTATCCCAGCTAGGCCTGGCACAGTCCCTTGGCCAAGTCCTCCCCTAGGCCCTGGCAGCTTCAGGTACTTAACAGCCAGCACTGGGGTGTAGAGCTAAGACCTTTTCCTGCCAGGGATCTGGAATGGACACCAGACACCAGGACACAAATCCTGGCTAGGGCCCTGCTAGTTTTGGCTTTGGACTCCTGCCTCACCCCTGTGCCTGGGTTTCCTCCTGAGAACAGTTGCCAATTAGAGCCTTGGTACCTCCAGCTGACTTCACCTAAGTGCCCCGAAGGGTAAACCCTGTGTCTGACCAGGACCCTGGACAGGGCATCTGCCCACCCTGCCCTCAGATGGGAGCAGATCCCTCTGGGGGGCAGTGGCTGAAGCCCCAGCCCAGGACAAGCGCGCAGACCAAACTGCCTGTGAGGACCAGAGGCCGTGTGCTTCGAGGTGTTTCTCCTTCCCTCAAGGCCCTATGACAGGGCTTCACAGGAGGAAAGGCCCTGAGGTTGTGGCGCGGCCATCCCCGTCGGGCAGCAAGTGCGAGGTAAGGAGGGGCCGGCGGTAGAAAGCAGAGGCAGCAGACAGCCAGGGTGGAAGGGACAGTGCAAGAGGCAGAGAGCAGAGGCAGGCTCAGGGACACAAGGCAGGATGTGCACACTGCCTTGGAGACGTGGAAACTTCAGAATCGAGGGGGCAGCGGACCATGGCTCTGGCTCCTGTGCAAGCAACAGGGCTGCAGGAGAGAAAGGTTAACGGCCAGGCAAAAGCGCAGGTTAGAAAGCAGCCACAGTGGAGGGGCCAGTCACATGGGCCGGCAGCAGCCATCATTCACCCTCACCCTGCCCGGGGAACGGGCGGGTCAACACCCACTTGCAGATGGGGGAATAGTGGAGTCAGGGGACAAGCCAAGAGGGCCCTGGCATCTGTTCAGGGTGAACGAGTGGTTTACACACCAGCTCGTGCCTCTGGGCTCCAGGCTTCCTGAGAAGGATGGGCAAGAACCCTGGGGACTGGGACACAGCTCTGAGCAAAAGTACCCAGGCCTGGAGGGCTGGGGACAAGTCTAGTCCTCCAAGAGAGGAGTCACTGAGGCTGGGCAAGGTGGTCAGTATGTGGGATGGTCAATACAGGGGATGGGAGATGGTCAGTGCAGGGGTGGGGGGACAGTCAGTGTGGGGGATGGTTATTGCAGGAGTAGGAGACAGTGACTACAAGGATGGGGACGGTCACTGTTGGGGACAGTCTCTGCAGGGCTGGCTCCAGGAAGCAAGGGATGGTCACTGCAGGGAAGGCAAGCAGGGGCAGGAGCGGCAGGCCGCCCACTGACCTCGCACTTGCTGCTCCAGGTTGAGGATGACCGACACGCCTGGTGCAGGATGAGCAGTTTGGTCTGTGGCTTCTCGCTGTGGAGGTGCAGCTGGCACATGCGGCCCAGCTCCTTAAACGCCTCATTGATGTCCCGGACCCGCAGCCGCTCGCGGGCGTTATTGGCCACCCGGCGCTCCTTCTCCCGCTCAGCCTTCTGCTCTGGGGGGAGAAGGTCGTCCTCGTCCTCGTCTGGGCTATGGGGGAGGGGACCAGGGGCCAGAGGGAAACAGTGAGGTGGGGGCGGGTACGGCCCTCGTGGCCTCCCAGTGTCGGCACGGTGTGCATGTACCCATGTGTGTCCTGCGGGAGCAGGAGGGGGCCCAGGAGGGGCTGGCACCTGGTCCGTGTGCGGGGGGCCTTCAGCTCCTTCTTGTCCTCCTCGGAGGTGTCGGCCACAGAGGCGTTCTCTTCATCCTCTTTCTCTTCCCGCTTGATTTCACTGGCACTCGCTGCAGCACCCACCCGCCCAAGTCCTGCAACGGGTCTGGAGTCAGGAGTTGTGGCCAGAACTACCTAAGGAGCTCCTCTGACCCTCTTGTAAGGAGGGCACGAGCTCTCTTGAGGACAAAGCCAGGTCTTCATTTGCAGAAAAGGAGTATGAAAACAACAAAGAAATGTAATTTGGAGCCCTCACACCATACACAGGTACCAATTCCAAAGATGAAAAGCAAAGACAACTTTACAACCTTCAGAAGAAAGTGTACAGCCAGGCACCAGTGGCTAATGCCTGAAATCCTAGTTACTAAGGAGGCAGAGATCAGGAGGACAGTAGTTCAAAGCCAGCCTTGGCAAATAGGTCTCCAGACCCTATCTCGAAAAAACCCACCACAAAAAAGGGAAAGGGGAGGGGTAGCTTGTGGAGTGGCTCAAGGTGTAGGCCCTGAGTTCAAGCCCCAGTACCTCAAAATAAATAAATAGATACACAAATACATAAAAAAAAAAAAAAAAAAGATCAGGATGCTTCATGGAGTTTTCTGTCATTGTTGCACAGGGTCCTTGTTAATCGTGCACTGACTGTTGCAATGTTGCACATGCTATCATGGGAAACACTAGAACAGCTGCTTCCAAAAGAAGAAACAGATAAGCCAGGCTGGTGGCTTACACCTGTAATGCTAGCTACTCAGGAGGCTGAGATGAGAGGATCATGGTTCGAAGCCAGCCCTGGGCAAACAGATCGAGAGACCCTATCCCAAAAAACCCTTCACAAAAAAGGGCTGGCAGAGTGGCTCAAATGGTAGAGTATCCATCTAGCAAGCATGAGGCCCTGAGTTTAAACCCCTCCAGAATAAACAAAAAACAGACAGATAAGCCAGACAGTATCAAAATTGACCATTCTAATCACCAAAAACTAGTACCAAGAGAATAAAGAGGCTATGATAGCTGCTACCCTGTAACCAATAAAGGACTGGTCTCCAAAATATGCAAAGAATGGCCAGGTGCCAGTGGCTCACGCCTGTAATCCTAGCTACTCAGGAGGCAGAGATCAGGAGGATCACGATTCAAAGCCAGCCGGGCAAATAGTTCCGTGAGACCCTATCTTGAAAAGCCCCATCACAAAAAAAGGGCTGGTGGAGTGGCTCGAGGTATAGGCCCTGAGTTCAAGCCCCAGTACAGCAAAAAAAAAAAAAAAAGCAAAGAATGTCCTTACATCAACCAGAAGACAAGCAGCCCAACAGAAAGGTTCGAGACTGGGCATTTCACTCAAGGAAGTCACATGGCAGAATGCATGGGAATCCTGAACATCAGGAAACTGAAGAAATGCAATACAGGAGCATAGTGACCAACCTTGCTCTGAAAGGAACAGTGTGTATATTGCAAAATCTTTGTGGGCACACATCAGGCAACACACTCGAGACATGCACCCTAGCTGAGGAAAAGCACACAGGCTGGGTGACCTCAGTCACAGGAACTATGGGCAGATCTCACACACACACAGCACATGCAAGAAACCAGGTGAAGGATGTACTGCATGTGGGTTGTCATTTTTATGAAGCACAAAATTGGGAAAGCAGCTGGGACGTGGCCCTGCCTGTGATCCCAGCACTCAGGAGGCAGGAAGATGAAGGCCAGCCTGGGCTGTACAGCGAGACCACAAAACCGAAACAATAAAAAATCCAGAAGAGGAAAGTGCATGGTTTGCAGGTTCTCAGCTCTGTCAAACACACACACACACACACACACACACACACACACACACACACACCTTTTTTTTTTGGTGGCACTGGACTTTGAACTCAGGGCCTACACCTTGAGCCACTCCACCAGCCTCTCCCCCCACTTTTTTGTGATACGTTTTTTCAAGATACGTTCTTGAGACCCATTTGCCCAAGCTGGTTTTGAACTATGATCCTCCTTATCTCTGCCTCCTGAGTAGCTAGGATTTCAAGTGTGAACCACTGGAACCAGCCTGAGGCCACTATTGATTTCTGGGGCTGGACAGCTCTCTGGGGTGGCCATTCTGAGCCCTGTAAGGGGTTGAGCAGGTTTCCCTGCCTGTATCCATTCCTTGTCAAGAGAACTTCCAGTAGGACAATCAGTGTTCCCAGTGCCAGTGTCATCCCCATGCCAACAGAGGGCACCTGTGAGCACCAAGGTTGTTCATTCCTGCCTGGCTCATAGCCCTCCAAGTCCTCCCTGCAGCCAACAAGGTCCTGCAGGCCCCACCTCCTCCGTCTCCCCTCCTCCCACATGGGCTTCCAGCCACATGGGCTTCCTTGCTCCCCTTCCCACAAGCCAGGTTCTTGCCCCAGGGCCTTTGCATGGGAAGGATGCCCTTCCCCTCTCATGCTCTGCTGAGGTGCCACCATCTCTTAAAGAACACAGATTTGACTCCCCTGCCCCCCATTTCTTTTCCTTCCAACATTTGTCTTGCACAGTGGCTCCAAGTCTGTCTCCCCTAAGGAGCTCCTCTGTTCCATTCCATTTTAGTCCCTGGTGCCTAAGATAGTGCCAGACACACAGCTGGTAACCTATATATGCCTGCTGAGCAGGGTCAATGAATGGCACGCAGGAACCTGTGAATGCAGAGGTAGTGGCCTTGAGGCTGTGACATCATTACCCACTGAGAGACTGACACCAGACATACTGATCCTACTGCCCCAAAGGTGCCACTAGGGAACACCATGCCCTTTGGGAATGACACCTGCTCTGGGGACCTTCCCTGTGGGACTCTCCCTGCAGGATCCATTGGTCTTGAAGGGGTTTGCCCTGCCCTGCTGGGATTTCTGGTCTGACCTCCTGCCTCAGTTCCCCTAGCTAGAAATGGAGTCCAACAGTCCCAAGCCAGAGGACCACAGTGAAGGTTTGCCAAGTAACAGGAGGCCACACCAAGACCCCATGCCAGGAATAGAGCAGATGATTTTGAGTCCCCTAGTGATGAGGGGATGGAGGGTACACAACCTGGCTGCCCTGCCTCGGGAACTTACCACTGTAGGAGTCAGGTGGCCGTGAAAGGTCAGGGAGGGTACTGGGCTGGCTGGGGAGGGCAGTATGGTTGTGCAAGAGGTTGGCGGTGCCCACGAGGCTGTCCTCTGAGTGGGTGCCCCCGACCTGTGGAAGAAGCAGGGACATGTCAGGTTGGAAGGGGTCCCCACCCTCCACCCAACCCAGCCCAGCCGAGACACAATGCTCACCAGGCTGGCATGCCGTCCACTCAGTGGCATGGGGCCAGCGAAGCCTGTGGTCAATGCTCCATGACTGGGTAGCAGCCCATGCATATCGCCGGCTGTGCCCACAGCATGGCTGCGGAGCACATGGATCGCCTCGTCCAGGTGGTCCTCCATCTTGCTCTGCTGTGGGGTGGGCATGGGGTGACCAGTGAGGGGCCTGGGCCCCAGAAATCTCGCACAGCCCTTCTGCAATTGGCAGGCATACACATGTGTATGCACAACATGCACACACACACACACTGGGCTGGGCTGTGACTCAACAACAGAACACTTGTCTAATGTTTGTGAGGTCCTGGGTCTTTATTCTCCAACACCACAAAAATCCACCCATAACACACCCTTTTGCACATGTACAGTGAGTGGTTCCATCCCAATCTCCCCTTCCCAAGAAATTCTGTGCTTTGCTTTGGTTGGCTCAGCTGTATGCCTTCACCAAGCAGTGCCTTGGCAATGCCTTCGGGTGTCCACCCACTTTGGAATGCACTCCTGAGAGTTGTCTAAACTCTCTTCTCATCCAAGGGGAGTTGGACCATTGCATTTTGTCAGTCACAAGAGACCTGATAGCTTTTTTTCCCCTTCTTCTTCTTTTTGTGGTACTGGGTTTGAATTCAATGCTTTGTGCTTGCTGGGCAGCCTAATGGCTCTTCGAAGGGACCCATGCTGACCAGCCCCATGGTGGCAGGGCAGGACACTCACCAGGCCATGGAGACCTCCATCATAGCTGGGTGATAAGGCACCAGGGCCTCCTGCTCGGGGCCACTGTGATGTCCCTGGAAGGGGAGGAGGCAGATGAACAAGGCAAGGCAGGGTGCAGAGCAGGAGGAACTCATGAGTGAATGAGTGCCCTCAGAGGGCCACTCTGAGGCATGCAACATTGCAAAGCTGCTCTAGGAGGCCTCAGTTTGAATCCCCAGAGTCCCCTGCCTTGGGAGCCCAGGAGGGCTGCATCTCTGATCTCTGATCCTCCTTGTAATGCCTTATCCTGGCCGACTACTTCAGGCTCTAGCAGGGAGGTGGGAAGCTTCAGGGAGGACCAGGAAGGTCAAGGAGAAGCAGAAGTCTGAGACTTCCCACAGCGCAAAGGGAGGACCTGGTGGTACTTTAAAGCAACTGCCCAGGTATTCTAGAAATCTCCAGCTCCTACTTCCCCTGGCTCCCAGCTGATGCCTCAGTCTCCAAGCAGGGACAACAGCTTCTGTCCCCCTTGCCAGAGCCAAACCTTGGGTATACAGTTGGTATCTAGTAGTTGTCAGGTAGGTGAGCGTTAACAGGTGCGTGCTCTGGACACCAGGCCAGAGCACGGTCCGGCTGCCTTCACGTAAGCCTCAACAGTTCCCACAGCACTGATTTACAAACTCTGCCTCCCAGCCTCTGCTCCCACTGACCCAACCTGGCTAGACACCACCTCACTGCCTGGCCAGCACTGTGGCACAAGGACAGCCTTGATGCCACCTCCTCGGGGACTGCCAGGATCGCTGGGTGAATGAGAGTCCATCACAGGCTTTGTTCCAGTTTGGCTTCTAAACCTCTAAATACCTGCTGGTCCCACAAGCCTCCCACAGCACTCGTCCCCTACATACCTGCCAGGCCCTGCGGGGAGCCCACGGGTGTTGAGGGACTGGGTGAGAAGTTACTGCTGGAGTGGTCTGGGGAATAGATCTGCAGTGGTGGAGACAGAAAGTCAGGGCCACCAAAGGGTCCCCAGCCCACCCTGGCCCAAGGCCCCACTCACCGAGGCCAGTGCCTTCCCAAGGGCATCCCCAGAGCTGCCAGCTGTGGTCCCGCGGGAGACTGTGGGGAAGAGAGGTGAGTTCAGCGTGAACCTTGTCAGTTGAAGCCACACCCTGGTTCCTTGATACCCAAGATCTACCTCTGTGGTGAGCCTCCTCCACGCCCTATTCCTTGTGGCCCTTGTGAAGTGGAAAACCCACTCCTTATACAGCTGTTTCCTGAATTACAAGCCAGCACAGATTGGCTGTGTAGGGGGTGGATGCCAATGGCAGAAACGGAAGCGATGTGACACCAGTCCTGGGGCCCTGGAAACACTGTGTCCCCACCCAGCCCCCAATGCTACCCCCTGGCTTCTGTTGGGCCAAGTGTCCCTTGGCTGCAGGGCGTGCATCCGGAGGGTGGCCGTACCCATGAGGCTGTCAGCCCCGCTGACAGGTGGCGTGTGGCTGGAGGCACTTCCATAGGCACCTGGGGCTGAAGGGAAGCTGGACACTGCAGGGAGACCACCGTTGACTTCAGCTCCATGCAGCTGGTAGCCCTGAGGAGAATGGGTGAGGGGTCAGATGAGGGTGGGCTGAAGGTCTGCCAGGAACCACCAGGCCCACCACCACTGAGGCCTACCATGCGCTCATGCTGGTGCAGGCTGCCAAACCCGCTGCTGCCGCCCACAGAGCCACTGCCTGGTGTCAGGGACAGTGGGGATGAGCCACCCAGCATGGGCCCGAAGCCTGCCTGGCCAGGGGTGCTCCAGAGCTCTGCTGATGGGTGTACACTGCCATCTGCAGAGAGGGGGAGGTGAGCGTGGGCAGAGGACCTGCCCATAATGCCAGCCCAGGGGTCCCCACGCACCTGCCACATAGAAGGGGGCGGGGTAGGTGCTGCTGGGGGTCTTGGCGGAGGGGTAGGCGGCATCCCTGCTGTAGTCATCACCTGAGCTGGGTGGGTACACCTGTGGCAGGATGGCATGGTCAGGCAGGAGGGATAGGATGGGTGGTTACAGTAAGGGTCCCCTACCTTGTTTCCCTATCCCATCCCTTATCCCAGTCTCTCCACCACTCCTCCAATGCTGCCCTGCTTCCCCCCTGTCATAGTTCTGGCTTCTTGCAGCTGAGGCCTTTGTGATGCCCCATCTTCCTTCATCCACACAATTCATTTGACCCATCACAGTCTCAGTTCTAATGCCCTCAGTTCTTCCTTGCTCCCCTGTTTAGAATATACCAGTGCTGGAACCTTCTTTAGCCCCCTGCCTAGACACACAAGACCATGGGCCCTGGAGTGATGTCTTCTCTGAGGCAGCCAAGGTACAAAGGGGTTCACAGTCAGTACCAAGTCCTAGCAGGTCGTCCCACCTAGAAGCTGGGCCCAACAGGACACTTTGGAACCACTGCTGATGTCTGCTCAACACAGGAGTAGGTAGCAGGGCATCGGGCTAGGGCTCCCAACTCTGACAGTTGTATGATTTTGTGACCCCAGTTCTTATGCTGTACATGAGTCGTACAGGATCTATCCATTCTCCAGGCCTGTGCTCTGTATCCTTTGACCTACACTATTAAATGGGGTATGGCAGGCCGTGAGGAAATGCATTGGGGGAGGCAGGGAGGAGGCTGTCTTGATAAATTAAGTCTTAAAACAACCAGCAACCCAAGCCTGGTCTCGCTTGATGGCCTTGGCCTGACTGGAATGAGCACAGCTAGCCCCGGGGCACATGTGCCTGGCTGGTTGGTCCAGGGCTTCCTGGCTGCTGAACACAGACCAGGCAGGGAGGACAGTGGTGACCAAGCCAGGAAATTCACCAAACTGCCTTTCTTCCAGTGTGATTACATCACAGAAGTGTGGTGCTGTGAGCCAGCACCATCTGCTAGGCCTGGCAGTGGGCCAACCACCATGCAGCGGGAATGGGGTGGAGATGCAGGTGGGTGGGGATGGGCCCCACTCACGCCCTTATAGTGAGAGCAAGGCTGGACCTAAGGAAGGACCTTGGTTTCTGAGAGTGGACCATGGCTCAGAGTGTGCAGGGGTGGATTCCCACTTATCAGGGTCCCCATAGCCTGGTGCCCTCAGGACATGCATGGTCTTTGCAGGAAGAGCCCCAAGACTTAAGAGGCATGAGAGGCACTTGGTCTGTGGAGTACCCAGTCCCACCACTCACCGAGGAGGGAAGACCAGGTGGAACCTTCCGGACCTTCTTGGGCTGGGTATCTGTTGGGAGCAAGAGCAGAAAGCGACCTCTGTCATAGCCCTCCCCCCGCCCAGGTGTAGCCAGGTCACAAGAGCAGCCCTGCCTATACCCCAGAGGCTCAAAACTCCCACTACTAAAAACCTTGGATGGCTAGGTGCCAGTGGCTCATGCCTGTACTCCTAGCTACTCAGGAGGATAGTGGTTTGAAGCCAGCCTGGGTAAATAGTTCATGAGACCCTATCTTGAGAAAACACTGCACAAAAATTGGGCTGGTGGAATGGCTCAAGGTGAAGGCACTAGCACAAAATAAAATAAAACAAAATAAAAGCCTTGGGTTCAGGGCTGGAGGAGTGGTTCAAGTGGTAGAGCACCTGCCTAGCAAGTGTGAGGCCCTGAGTTCAAACCCCAGTACTATTCAAAAAAAAAAAAAAAAAAAAAAAAAAAGGAAAAACCTTGGGTCCACCTACGTGAGTTGAAAGACGTAAAACACCATGGGGGTCTGGGAGAAGATTTCCTTGCATGGGAGTTTCAGAAGCTAGGCATTAACAGATATCTGGGCTAAGTCAGCTCTAGAGTCAGATGTGCCCCAAGGTCCTCTTCAGAACAGCATCAACCAATGTCATCCCAACCATTGTACAGCCAGTCCTCAGGGTTCACATACAAATCATGCTAGGTAGATTCTATCCTCAGACCCTTTCTCTATTCAGGTCCCACACAGGGTGGCAAAGACTCTGAACCACCAATGAGTACATGCATGGCCGCCTCATGCAGCTCACACTATAAACAAAGGTCCTGGCTCCAGCCTACTCAGAGATGTGGTTTGTCATGTTCTTGCACTTTCTGTTTGCGACTTTGCTATTTAAAACATCCCAAGCACAATGAAAGACAGGGCAATGTCTCTCTGACAGAGGCTGTGCTGAGCCTCACAGGGTGAGATTAGCTAGGCTCAATGAGAGAGAGTGACAACCAGATGCTGATGATGGAAACATGCAAAAATGAGAGTGTCCTTTGGCGATAGTCATGTGACCAGATGCTTTCAGGAACTAATCCCAGTGGTATTTGTCACCACAAATACAACTCTGGGGACCAGAACTGTGTGAACTGTGAGGCTCAGCTGGACCTGAAAGGGGGACTCACCCAGGCCGCCATCTGCAGCTCTCCGCCGAGGGTTGCTGGGGTACGAGGAATAGTATTGGGAGCTTCCCTTCATGCCAGAGGGGGACAGTGGTCCAGGGCTGCTGAGTCCCAGCTCACTCGGAAGGAAACCAGGCTGGGGGGACAGGGCATCAGGAGACTGGGCTGGTGTATACCTCCCAGGCCAATCCCTGCTAAAACCCACCACTGTAGAAGTGGTACCACTAGCCCATGCAGGACACCTTCCCTGCCTCTGATCCAAACACAGCAGGCCTTGAGCCACTCAGCATCTTCATAAAGAAGAGGCTGGCTGAGTGGCTGTCTTTGGCCAGTGAGAGATGCTATTTACTGTGGCCTCTCTTTCTAAGCATTCCAGTTACTACTGCGTGCACTATTGGAGAACAAGCTTCCTTCCCTAGGAATCATGCCCCACATCTCGTCTGCATGGTCTGTGCTCTTTCTTGCCTTTGTGCCACTGCTGTGTGAGCGGCCTCTGCTCTCTGAACTTGTGCCCAGTGGACCCGGTGAGCAGCAGAGCCCAGGGTTCAAGACCCAATGTCACGAAGCTCTGCTCCTCATGGGGGTGGCTACTGCAGGAGGCACCTCACTATACTCTGCTTGTGAACCAACGCTCTGCAGGTGCTGTCCTTATCACAGGGCCTGGCACCCACTGTCCTCAACAGCTGCAGCTGCTCTGGCTTAGGCACAAGGCAGACAGGTAGAGCCACCTGGGACAGGGCTGCCAAAAGACCAGGACAGGAGGCCAAGCTAGGCTACTGAGGCTCACAAGGGAGGGCCAGGAGCTAAGCACAGGCTCAGATTTGTGGAGCCACCTGGAGGATCGCCCAATATTTCTACCACTGAGGGGCATGACAGGTGCCCTGCCACCACTTACTTGAGTCAGGCCACTGACACTCGCATCTCTCCCGAAGGTGGTGTAGGTGCTCCTCTCGCCACCCTTACCTGCAGGGGAGAAAAAGGGTCACTGGAGCAGATCCCAGGCTGGGTCCACCTGGTCCTTGACACATGCCTGAATACAACCCAGTCTCCCAGTTCCCCTGGAGACAGGCTCAGGACAAGAGTGGGTCCCTGGGTGCTTGTGGACCAAGTTGACTGGGAGCTCTGTTCTGTCTCAGTCTCTTGCTGGCCATCCTTAACCTTGGACATGCCTGGCACTTTCTGGGGTACTGGGCTCACACAGGGCCCTTGTCTGTCCCAGGGACAGGCCTGCGGGGTCCTTGGCAGGGAGCCATTAGGAGAGTGTGGCTGTATGCACACAGCACCCATCAGACCCGTGTCAAGGCTCAACTCCTGTCTCACAGTCTGCCAACACAGCAGCCCAGCCTTCCAGTGAGGGGTCACTTTGTAAGCCAGCTCAACCACGAGCACCGCCCCAGCAATGCTGATTCTAACCACTTGGTGAGAAGAGTCAGGTCGTCTGCCCAAAGAGCTATGTGGGGGACCCTGTGAATGTGCTCTCCCCACAGACACTTGGATCCAGCTTCACCTGAAGCAGAATCCCCGGATTACTTAGTATCTAAGCCAAAGGTTCCCTCTGACCTTAAGCTAGGTGCCAAGTTTTTATTTATTTATTTACCTTTTGTGGTACTGAGGTTTGAACTCAGGGCCTCATGCTTGCTAGGCAGGAGCCACACCCCAGCCCTGGGTGCCAAATTTGACTGAAGGGTGAACAGCAAACAGTCTTGTCCTACGTGAGGACTCTGATTGATTGTTTATTCCATTTTTTTTTTTTTCAGACTGGGCCATGCTGTGTAACCCAGGCTTGCTTGGCACTCCAATGCTCCTGTCTTCTGCCTCATAAATGCTGAGACGACAGGAGTATCTAACACACTTCAGAACAATTTCAATCAGACCCCCCAAAAGAGGGCTGCTGGAGCCTAATGTTACTCCCTCTGGGTTCATCAGTGACCCTGGGGACTGGGGACAAAAGAGGCTCCAGAGGAGCTCTGCACATGGCAGCCAGCATCTCCATGCTAGAAGAACACTAAGGCTCCCAGGGACCCTTCCTGCCCTCTCTGCTCACAAGTCCCACACACAGCAGGGATGCGGGAGAGGGAGGAAGCAGGGTGGGCCAGGACACGGCTGGGCTCTGGACACTGCTGACCTTGAGCCACTCCTGCCAGCAGGACACCTGAGAAAGAAAGCTAAGAAGAAAGCCTGACATTCTAGTAGGTATGCAGGCCACCTGGGCCCTGGGGTAGGCCTTGCCTTCCCTTCTGGGAAATGGGCCCAGTGCTGTCTGCAGTGAAGGATAAGGTGCATGCTCAACTCCCTCCCTGTACTGGGTTCCCTTCCTGTTTAGGGCACTAGCACCTGCCAAGCTCAGACTGTCCCTCACAGTCCAGGGAAAAGACTAGGTCTTTACAAGAATCCTCAGGCCTTAGTTTCCCCACTGACCACTAACACTGAGAGCCACAGTTCATGCTCAGTGCCCAGCCCCAATGACACATCTAATGCTCCCCCAACTCTATAACCACAATGGGATTGGTCAGCTTGGACCCAGTCCCAGCCCTGGGACAGCCCTTTCTGTGAGCCTCACTTGCCACCTTCGGCCAGGAAGATTCTGGGAAGTCCCTATATCACAGGTGGGAAACTGAGGTTGCAGAGAATCCAGGGTCTGCACAGAGTGTGAGTGCAGACCTTGGTTAGGATGATGCCTCTGTCTGTGGAAGGACCCAAGCTCTCCTACACTGGGGACTCCTGAGCCCACTGTCCAGTGCCCTCTAAGGAAGAAGGCAGAGCTACAATCACCCAGGCAGAGTAGCAACCACAGCACCTTCCTGACTCAACTCCCAGACAGGGAAACTGAGCCATGGAAGGCCTGTGTCCACCTGCACCAGCTCCCAGACTGCACACTCACCTCCGAGCCCGGGTCCCAGGAATGTGGATGAAGAGAGGCTGCTGTGGGATTCGCCGAAGTGGGCACCTTCACTGTAGGTCTATGGGAGGCAGGTGGGGTGAGGGTGCACTGGGCACATGTAATTTTCCCCCTCTAGCCCCGATTCCCTCACCTCCTCACCCAAGGGAGGCCTGGGGTTGTGTGGGGTTCCTTACCCGGCTGGCATCAAAGGACGGGTTGCTCTGGTCACTGGTTCCCCATGAGCCTGAGCTGGGCCGGTCCTCAAGTCCTGGTGGGGGGGGGCAAGAAAGAGAGACAGGGTCCCTGCAGCCAGTCCATTTCTAGCTTTAGCTTCTCCTGCCACAGGGGAGAACCTCGAGGTACTCAACCCAGCTGGAACCAATGCCATGGTCAGCAGCCAAGGCCCCAGACACCCAGGGCCTTAGAATCCTTTCAGGTATATAGCTGATTATCTCTTTCATCAGCTGTCTCTGCTGGCAAACTTCTACCCATCTATGAAAGCCCCAGACACCATGCCCACTCTGGACAAAGCTCTTATTCTGAGCTTCTTTTCCTAGCCTCATGCCTCTCCCTCAGGCCTAACTCTGAACCACACAGGAACAGGTGTCTGCGTCAGGCATACTCTCTTTCAACCTTTCAAGAAAGGTTTATTAGGGCCTTGGTAAACAGGTAAGGAATAGTGAGCTGTAATCTTCGGAAAGTGGGGGTCCTGCTGACACCACTGGGGAGGCCAATTGGCAGTAGGTGGATGGGGCAGAATCCCACTTGAAGAGGACACACAGGTACCCTGGTCCTGGGGCTCCTACAGTCCGGCCCTCTGGGGAAGCTGGGGAGCCTGCAGTGTGGCAGAGGTTAATCGGTCTGGGGAAAGAACCTTGTCCCAAGGGGTGGGGCAAGGCAGGGTGGGGCCCTTATCTCCCCCACCACTCTCACAGGCAACTGCCTAGGACTCTGGAATGTTCTCCACAGACAGCTAGCTTGGCTCCTTCCCCATGTCTCGTGTCTATCCATGAGGGCTACAGAGCTCCTGGAAAAGGAGCAGAACAGCCCCCAGACTCTTCAGCCTGGCCACAGGGGTTATGAGTAGTCACTGTCTTGCATGCCTGGGATGTCCCTGTCCAACTTGGGGTCAGAGGCCCCTCAATGCCCCTCCATACCCTCACCCCACAATGGCACGCCAGTGGCTCCTGCGCTGCCTTCTGTCCTCCCTCCCCTGCTCCTTACACCAGGAACTTCTTTCAAACCAAATTCTTTTATTTTGGTGCCTTTGTGTTAATCATTCCCCTAGAGAACAGGTGTTTAATTGCTGTCTAATTTGCATAATCATGCATATTAATCTCCCAGTCAAATGAATATTCATATCTCGTTTAGATTTTTGTTTTCAAATAAAAAATTTCCAATGTGATTATGGGTGGGGGATTGGGATGCTGCCTCAGCAAGTTGGGATCTGGGCAAGGGGTTACCATTGGCTCTAGATATCCAGCTGGCATGCGTTGCTCAGTTTGAGGTATCTATAACCTATGATCTTAGGCCCCAACTTGGTCTTCTGACAAGGCAGGGGTGGGCTGGCAGTGTGAGCTTGGGCCAAGTGCCCAGGCCCTCAGGCTTCTGAGGTTACCTCTGCACACACCTGTTGGCTGTCCTATAGGGGCCACAGCCCCCTTCTCATAAACACTGGAACCTAGAAGTACTAAATTGAGGGACTTTTCCCCAAGACAGCAGCCAGGGTGCATGTGAACAGCACTAGAGAGCTGGCAAAGTGGCTCAAGCAGTAGAGCGCCTGCCTAGCAAATGTGAGGCCCTAAGTTCGAACCCCAGTGCCACCAAAAAACAAAAACTAAACTGAACAGTACTAGAACCCAGGCCCCAAAGTATCTACTCCAAAGGTCTGGCAGAGGTGAGAGGCTCTCCAGGGGTCCATAGATAAGCCCCTGGCAGAGACAACAACCCCCCCACCCCTAAGCCCAGTCCTCATCCTCTCTTCTAGAAATGACAGAAATAGGGAAGAACCTCCCCTACCCCCATTAATACAGTTATTAAAATTCCCCACTGATCAATTATGTATTTTAATAACCCATCCATGAATATTCATAACACGAGCTCACTCCTCCACTAATTAAAATGTACTAATAGAATAAGGCATTGCTCTCGAATTTTTTTGATTCCTTTTTTTCCATGCTGGAAGTGGGGTGTGGAAGGCAGAGGCTGGGTTTTGCCCATCCCATCAAGAGCTCAAGAATCCCAGTCAACTAGGGAAGACAGGTGCCCAGAGGGCTGCAGGAATAACCATGTACTTGGCCTCTGGACCTCAGGTGCCCTTGCTTGATGTCCCTTTTACAAGTAGGGGAGGCTTTGAAAGCCTTCAGTAACCCTGGTTAGGACTGTGTGGCCTGTGTCTAGGGCTCCATTTTTGAAGTTTTTTGTTTTCTTTCTTTTCCCCTAGGCAGTACTGAGATTTAAGGCTTGAAGTCAGAGCTCCAAACATGCTAGGCAGGTGCTCTACTGCTTGAGCCATGCCTTCAGTCCCGGGCTCCATTCATTTGCAGGGCTTGGAAATTTTGGTCCCTGGATCAAGGCCTCATTTGCTCATTTGTATAAATAAAGTTTTACTGGCACACAGCCGGTTTGTGCCTACATTGCCTGTGGCTCCCTTGAACACCATGGCAGAACTGAGTCCTGACGAGAGACCAGCAGAAATCTTCACTATCTACCCATCATTGACATGGAGACTTCCACATGGAGGAAGATTGCTAGGCCCATCCCATCTACAGACTTCAGCATCAGGCCTGGGGCTGGGTTCCGGGGCAGGGCCCACCACAGCGTTCAGGTCCACTGCCAGGTGGCCTGCATGAGTCTTCTTGGGCAAAAACCCCAGGAACCTCCTCTCTTTCCTTTACTCCTACAGCCCACCCTCCTGGCAGCTAAAGCCTGGGTCAGCCATTCTCGAAAGCAGCTTCCATCCAGGGGCCTGCTGATTGTCCCTAGGTAACCCGAGAGGGCTTTCAGAAGCAAAATCTGGCTGTCCTCTCTCCCTTTAACGCTCCTATATCTCCCCATGACCCTCAGGGTAAAGACCAAATTCCTTTCTCCCTGACCTTAGCACTCTCTTCTCCCCTGAACTGGGGGCCTGTGCCCCCTTCAGAGGTTCACCCCCTGGTCTCCAGGTCTACTTCTTGGTTGACCTTCAGGGAAGTCACCTTGCTATCCCCCTCCAGTCTGAGGCCTCTGTGTCCCCATCACTGCCTGGAACAGGGCTGAGGCCACAAACGGCCCAGCAATTCATGTCTTCAAAAGAACTTTCCACAAGGATCAAAATGGTTTCCACCTGTGCTGTTGCACATAGCAGCTAAGAAGCTACTCAGAGTTTCACATATGGCCAGCAGGGCTGAGAAAGAACATTCAGTTTTATGTGATTTTTTTTTTTTTCGTACTAGGGTTTAAACTCAAGGCCTTACGCTTACTAGGCAGGTGCTCTACAACCTGAGCCAAGCCCCTATCCCTTTTTGTTTTTATTTTTTTGGGTAAGGTCTCATGTTTTTTGCCCAGCCTAGCCTGGACCATGATCCTCTTACCAGAATCCTCCTCCCCTATTAGCTAAGATAGGCATGTGCCACCACACCCATCTTTTAACGTGATTCTAACTACTGGGGACAACTGTATGTGGCCAATGACCACTGTATTAGTTGGTGCATCCCCAAAGACACTGACTAAAATGTAGCCACCCTCAGTATCCATGGGCTCTACACCTGGGGAGTCAACCAATCTGCCCTTGGATAGCTCCAGGATAGTGAAGGATTGGGTCCTTGTCAAGCCCCTAGAGCAGAACCCCCAGCCCAGGGGCCTTCACAGTGCACAGAGCCAGCTTAAGAGTGAGGGTCTGACAAGTCTGTAGGTAATAATTACAAGGGAAACAGCTCGCAGCTACAAAGGCCACCTGGCCCCTCCCTGCTGCAAAAGTCAGCTGACTGACCTCAGGGACAACAGAAACCTTTAGTATCAGCGACCCATGTGGGGTCCGAGTGCAGGATGGGAAAGTCTACCCTTGAATGAGAGCTCAGAGCCATTTTGAGGCTTGGCACAAGAAAAAGATTCGTGAGGGAGACAAACTCCGAATGGAAAAGAGGACAGTGACTTTGAGGCCAAACTGGGCCAAGAACTGAGAGACTGTCTGTGATATATATTCTTTTTTCTTTCTGGTGATACTGGGGTTTGAACTCAGGGCTTCATGCCTGCTAGGCAGGCACTCTACCACCTGAGCCACTCTGCCCTGTCTGTAAATTAGTATAGTAATTAATTAAAATCAACCCAAGGGCTCCTACCTGTAATCCTAACTATTCAGGAGGTAGAGATCAGGAGGATCACGAGGCCATCCTGGGCAAAAAAATGTGAGACACTATCTCAAGTAGATACACATTCTCAGTAGAGTTTGAGTCCAAGAATCTTCATCCCACCTCAATGTTGCTCACATGGAAAGACCTACATTACCAAGTCCTCTTGGAAAAAGAGGACTCCCGAAGAAACACCACACAACCTGAGCAGGAATCAAAACAGTGTGCAAGGTAGAAGATGAGCAGGGTGGGAACAGCGAGCATGCTGGACCGTATATCTAAGGCCTGGCCTCAGTACCAAGACCACAGAGCCTCACTGTACCTGCATCGAAGGGGCTCCTTGCAGTGGTTACTATTGCCCCCATTTTACTGATGGGAAAACTGAGGCATTTTCTCAGAGCATGCAGATAACTGGGATGGTAACTATCACAAGGATACAAATGTTGCCAAGCAAGACCAACAAAGACCAGGAAAAGATACAATATTTTCATTAAATAGCAACTTACTGACCCTAGCCACTGTCATTTTACCTCCAAAGATGAAAGTGGGAGTTAAAGGGTAACCACCACTGCATTGAGATATTTGTAAAAAGCTTTTTTTTTTTGAGACAGGGTCTTGCTATGTAGCCTAAGCTGGCCTGAAACTTGGGATCCTCCTGTTTCTGCCTCTTATGTGCTGGGCTCAATCTCAAAAGCAGACTCAGTCTCACAAACAAAATATAAAAACAAAAAGGGTTAGAAGTGCAGCTAGGGCAGGGCCCTGGGTTCAATTTCTAGAATTAAAAAAAAAAAAAAAAAAAAAAAAAAAAAAAAAAAAAGGACCCTCCTCCCACCAACTTTGAACTCAAACCTCTGAAACTACCTGACTCAAGGAGAGAAACAATTTTAATTATCAAGTATCAATCATATAACAAAAATACCATTATTAAAATAAGGTCCTCAGAGGAAAACAGGATCTTCAGCACATTGGTTCACAAACATGAGAAGACAGAAATAAGCAAACAAGGCCTTCAATGCAAGTCCAGAAAGAAAGAAGAAAACAAACTTTAAAAAAAAAAAAAAAGAATTAAGATAAAAGAGGAAACAAAGCAAGTCATCATCGATGGATAACTATTGATTCCACAATGCAATGGATCCCTGGAAGAAAACTCAATAAAACAACTAAAGCAGAAGGAGCAGAAGCAAGGACAAAGGAAAAGAAGAAAAAGTAAGTAGACTTAAGATGGAGACACAGACAGAACCACAGTGATTTTATGTTATGAAAGAGGCTCACACTGGCACGTTTTAAAACCTGGCTGAAATACAGAGGGTTTTCTAAGAAAATGCTGTGGTGAGCAAGAGGAGTGGACATGACCCCCACCGGCTGGAGAACACTCCCCAGAAGTTTCAGAAGCAAATGTCTCCCAAGGAAGAGCTGCTGACAGGTTCAGAACACTGCAAAGGACGAGACCATCTAGAACACAGGGCAAGAAGGCAAGGCTGGTGGACATGAAATTCCTTGAGAGTGCAGCGTGAGAAAGGTGGTCCACAGGACCACCCGATGTGGAGGAGGCCATATGAGGCACCACGCACAGGATGGTGCCCACTGCTTATTGTGAATCAGCAAAAGGGGTAAGAAGGACCCTGAACATGAAAAAGACAGACAGACAGACAGGCCTATCAGGAGTCAACAGCCAGCATCAAGCTGGCGGCAAGCACCAAGCAGGCCTAGTGTCAACAGGCAACTGGTGATTGCCTGGGGTGGTCACCCCTGCAAACAACTGACAAGGCTACAGGGTACAGAGCATCACCACTGATCTGGGAGAGACTGAAAGCAGGAGGATAGCAAACCTAACCAAGGAAAAAGAGCAAATTAAGGAATGGCAGGAAATGATGCAGTGGAAGACAGGAGGGAAAATCTGTGAAAGGGACCAGGAAAATGCAAAAATGCCCACAGGCATACCTATCTGGGAATGTGTGAACAAATGAAAACAACAAAGTATGTGTCTGCTACTTCAATTTTTGAGGCTTATTTTTAAAACTATAAGGACTGGGGAAAGGCTCAGTTGTTAGAGTGCTTGTCTACCATAGGTGAGACTCCTGATTTGAGTCCCAGCAGAAAAAAAGAGAAAGGAAAGGAAAGGAAAGGAAAGAGAGAGAGAGAGAGAGAGAGAGAGAGAGAGAGAGAGAGAGAGAGAGAGGGAGAGAGGGAGAGAGAGAGAGAGAGAGAGAGAGAGAGAGAGGGAGAGAGGGAGGAGAGAGAGAGAGAGAGAGAGAGAGAGAGAGAGAGAGAGAGAGAAAGGAAGAAAGGAAAGAAAGGAAGCAAGAAAGAAAGAAAAAGAAAGCAAACAAGCCCAATAAAGCTAGCACAACTAAAACGGTACTGAGGTAATAACTCAAAAGTAAAACAGATGGGGAAAAAAAAAATTCTTAGGAAGTGTAATGATGCATTTTTCAAACCACCTGAAAATGTTTCCTTTAGTTTATTCTGTTGGTGGCTGGCTAACTTCTCATCCTCAATGCTTAATCCTTTTCTTTTCATTCTTCCCACCCTATATAAAGAGTGTCTGCAAAATCAACAAGAGCCATATAAAGTGGGGTTTGGGACATTACAGGGTGCCATCACAAGGCAGTTAGTTGGAATGAAACTCTTAAGTTTCAGCTTCCTAGTTGGTATAATGGGGATAATAACCTCAATTTTGTCTTCAATTTGTGAAGACTGAGAATTCCCTGAATATGACCTGAGGTTAGCATATGACACATATGGTGATGCAAGTTGTTCTTAGCATGTGGCTGTTAAAGAGCTGATCGGGCAGCAATAAAAAGGAACAAACTATTGATACAAGCAACAACTTGGACGAATCTGCAGGGATTATGCTGAGTGGGAAGGGACCATCTCAGAGGCTCTCATGCCACGTGACTCTATTATACAGCAGACATGGAACAGCAGGGTGGCTTAGGGTCAGGGGTGGCAGGGGAAGGGGGGCGTTGCCAACTACAATGGTGCACAAGCATGGTCTCAGTGGCCACTATGACTCTACCACACAAACCTACATACAAGTGCAATCTGAGTAACTGTGAATGCCCCCGCCCCATCATCCGTGAGCTCCTACTATATAGCATACACACAGGTATCACCCTCGGTGCATGGAATTTCTCCACACACACATCTCTGTGCCTTCCTGTGACTGCACAATGATTTTAAAATAAAATGCTTGCCAGAAAAAAAGTTGAGAGAAACCAAAACAAGGGCTCAAGAGAGTAAGGGGACAAAGACTGTGTGACCCGTCACCTGAGATGAGTCACTCACAATCCATCACCCGCTGGTGGACCACAAGGGCCCTTCTGGGGTCCTCAGCAACATGGAGGAGCAGCAGGCAAACAGATGCCTCAGAGCAAGAGACCCTGGCTCATCTAGCTCCTGTGGCTCCTGGGGTCCTTCACCATGAGCTCAGAGCAGGGCCAGGTGGCAGTTTACTTGGCCCTCTCATACCCATGGACCCAGCTAAATCCTCTTCTTATTTGTAAAAGTGACATCAACTGACAGGTGGCAAAGCCTATCTGGTAACTGGTGATAAGAAGGGGGTGACTTAGGCTTGTGTCTCAGGGTTCTGAGTCCCTTGCTGCCCTGAGGGCTTCTGCCCCTACCTGCTACAAATACACTGGGGGTGGGAGCCACCAAGAGGCATGGCAGGACAGGGACCAGTGCACCTGTACCTCCAAAGTAAAAAACACAACCCGATGGGCCTTGCTAGGCCCCCAAACACTCAGCCCTGCTGTGTGATGGGGAAAAGGAAAGGGATAGTTGGTTAAGGCAGAGCTGGGGGGCAGGAAGAAACTGGCCAGGAATCATGAAAACCAGCCTGCAGTGTCTACAGGGTCCAGCTCTGCTAGCCAGGCACTCAGGGAATGGGCAGTGGCACCCCTGAGGAACAGTCCTGGGCCCAGGGACCCATGCACTATGGTCCTGACCTTGACTGAAGAGGGTCTACAGAAGGGCTGGGAGGATAGGTAGACAGTGAATGAGGACAAACACTCCACCCCATCCTCAGGTGGACCAGGGACAGTGTCTGACAGCCCTTGGCCTGACCCTCTGTCTGAGGCTAAGAGCCTCAGTCCCTGGTTTTGGGGGCTGCTTCCGGTGCCATGGGGGATTTCCACACCTCCGGGAGCACCCGGGTAGCCCTGCGGCCACTTCCTCAGGCAGAGGGGAAGGCCAGCAGCAGCAGCTGATGGTCCTCACTTTTGGAGTGGGGTACATAAGAGCAAACCTTCCTTGCCAGTCTCCAAACCCTGTCTGGCCACAGTCCACAGGTCACCCTTAATAAGTCTCAGATATGACCATAAGACAGAACTTCTCATCCTATCCTAGAAATGGGAAGGATAAAGCCATGGAGGCTCTAATCTGAGCCCCAGGAAGACACTCAAGGCTGGCCACAAGGACAGCCAGAGGTGAATGGGGACTGAAACGCCTTGGGACATCTGCCCAGCCTGCCCACCAGGCCCTGGCCACAGCTATGGTAGGCTCCAACTTTCACACTGACCTCTGCCCTCTACCTTCCATGGCTCCCTGCAGCTGCAGGAACAGGTAGTTTCCCATTGTGGCTCCCCAAGACTGTACTACCTGGTTAGCTCCCCCTACCCACATGAGTCTGCTTCCCTCATAATCGCTCCCTCTGGTCTCTGCTTGCCACCCTGGAGACCTCCTGGAGGCTCAGGTAGCCCACGACCCTCACTATGCAACACCTGAGCTTGCTGCCCTTCTGTTAGCTAATCTTCAGTCCCATCCTACTATTTCCCCATCAGCAAGGGTAACCAATTCACCCAGATCAGCCTGGGATGCTTCTGCTGTTAGTGTTCCCTGATCCCAGAAGCCCCCCAGTCCTGGGCACAACAGGGTGGCCAGTCACAGTAGTGCTGGGTCCTGTGCACAGCAAGTGCCCAATGCAGCTTCGAATGCAAACAGAGGGGGAGGTTGGGCTTGTAAGATTCCTGCTGTGCATGATCTGGAGGAGACAAGGAGAAAAGAGACCCATTTGTTCCTGGACCCAGTGCAGCCTGATCCTAAGAGCAAACCCCACTCAATTCCAACCCTGTCCACAGAGCTGACTGCCAGCCATCCTCAGGCCAGTCAGTCACAAGTGCAGGCAGCAACTCTCTGGTGCTCTTGGACTCGCTGCCCCCATGCCCACGAGTGTGTGCCCACCCCCCCACCCCTCACACATCCTGTGTGGTCTCCAACTGACCCTTCATACATGCCTCTCTCTCCAGATGGTCCTACCTGAACCTCCAAACTGGGTTCCGGCCAGGGAGGCAGGCCGGCCCTTCCCATTGGTCACAGGCAGCGGGAACATCTGCAAGGAACAGAAAGGGATAGCAGTGAGTAGGGGCAGTTGGCAAGCCCAAACCCACGATCTGGGGACCACATTCTCTGCAGGGCTGTCCTGCCCACCCGAGACCAAAGACTCATAGACCTGCCTTGCACTGAAGCTGGATGGGCTCCAGGTATGACTCTGAACTGCCCACCCTGACAACAGTGTCTAGGACTCCAAGCCCCCCAGGTCTGTGCTGTTTGGTTGGGGGCCGGAGGTAACCTATTTAGGAAGGAGCTACAATCCATGAGCTCTGAGGAATAATGCAAAGTTCCTTTCATTTCAGTTTAGGAAAGCCAGTAGTCACCAGGCGCCAGTCGCTCACGCCTGTAATCCCAGCTACTCAGGAGGAAGAGATCAGGAGGATTGTGGTTTGAAGCCTGCCCAGGCAAATAGCTTGAGACCTTATCTCAAAAAAAAAAAAAAAAAAAAAATCCATCACAAAAAAAGGGTTGGTGAAGTAACTCAAGATGTAAGCCCTGAGTTCAAGCCTCAGTAATGAGGAAAAAAAAAAAAAAAAGCCACAAAAAGCACCCATACAAGAGGCCCAAATGCTCATACCCTACTTGCATCACTGTGGGCTCTGCTGTCCCAATAGGCCAAACACCCCCACCCACTCACCTATGTGCACATGGGTGGTCCCGTGCACAGGGACCATGGTGAAGGATGGGCGCAACCCCTATGTAGGCTCTGCAGTTTTCCCAGATGCCAAGGGCATGGGACTTCCTTCCCCCCTTTCACCCATACCCAGGGCGCTAAGTCCCTAAAGATTAAACAGCTTAGTAGCATTACACAAAGACCAGCATCAACAAACCCTTTTGCCACATAAAAAACAAGGCACATCCCTGACGTGCCCCACCTTTCTCCAGGTCTAGGAAGTGGGATCCTGAGCCCTTATTTTCTCCCAACTCTGGCAAGACCAAGATGGGTAACATTCAGGGAGGGGTGTCCAGGCTACAGGCAGTCCTTACCAGGTCTATGTCCCTGTCAAGTGGGAACTGGCCCAGCCTCTCCATGCCTCATTCCCCCACTCTCATTGGGGAAACTGAGGCCCTCAGGTCTGGTGTCTACAGCCAGGCCCCTGGGGAAATGGGTAGATTCCATTTCTATTTACTTTTATCTTGTCACAGGCAAGATATTTGCTGGTGGGGAGGGGGACTATGCCATATTCTGTGGGCCCAGACCCACCCCCACACTCCTGGGAGCCTTGATTTCCTTTTCTGGGAAACAGACTCAGGGAACTGTATGTGTGGGATATCATGAAACCCAGCACATGGCTGGGGTGCTGGTCACCAGCAGCAAGGGGCACAGGCCCCCACCACCTTGCCCTGGGATGGGCCCAGGGACCATTCTAGATTCATGCAGGGGGCATTACCTAGAATGCCTGCTCTATGCTTACGGGTCCTTTACACATCTCAGTTGTCTACTGGGGTTTGAACTCGAGGCCTCAATGCAGCACTCTACCAGCACTTTTTTATGTTGGGTATTTTCGAAATAGAGTCTCAAGAACTATTTGCCAGGGCTGGCCTCCAACTGCAATCCCCCTGATCTTTACCTCCCAAGTAACTAGGATTATAGGTGTGAGCCGCCACGCCTGGCACCTCTTAGTCTTCTTAACCACAGAAACCTAAATCCAGTTTCCAGTGCCAGTGAGATTTAAACGCTGCAACTTTTTTCTTTGTATTTATTTTGACAGTGGCCCCTTTCTCTACCTCTAGTGAACCTGGCCCAGGGAAGTGCTCCCCTGTAAGGTCTGTATCTCAGACTAAAAGATCTTGTTCAAAAGAACAACTCCCTGAGCCTGGGGCAGGTGGCAAGGGCAGCTAGGGGAAAGGGGTGTACTGTCGCTGCTCCCCAACCTGGCCACACAGGCCTTTCCCTGTAACACTAAGGAGGGCCACCAAATTCTAGTGCTACGTCAAACCCAATGAGGGAACACCTGGAGAGGCCAGCTTCTCACCCCTCAGCCTCAGTCTCTCATCTGTGTAATGGGCTGCTGGGGGAGACCTTGGGACCTCTGGAAGGTGGTGGACAAGGGACTCAGGGGGCTGGGATGGGAAGCACAGTGTATGTGTGGGTGACCATGTTACTGTGGGCCTGAGCCTATGCACCACCCCCAAGCTGGTGTGTTCCAGCCCAGTAGGCTGTGACCTGTCAGTTTAACAAAAAAAACAACCAAACTGCACCTCTGGTTACTCAGCCACGGAGGGAAAAGAAAACAGGGCTTAAAAATACCGCATGGCCCTTCCGGAGCCTTGGTTACTCCGTCCGGCAGGCTGTTTATCGGCAGAGTGGCTGGTGCTGTTTCGGCTTTGGGACTTTTGTTTTTGACATTACCTTAGCAGCATGAGCCATACACAGGGGAGGGTTCAATTCAGACTGAAAGTGCCTCCCCTCCAGCTGTTTCAAACCAAAACGGTGCTTATAGCAGATGGGGGCCAGGATTTCGGGAATCATCCACACATGTGTCAGAAGCAAAAAATCATAGTTGTGGGTTGATATCCACAGAAGGGGCTCCACTGCACATGATGGGTAAACTGAGGGTCCTAGGCCTTTGAGATGCCTATCAGGTCTCGCACTTCAGAGGACTCTAGTTTCTCTACCTTACCAGGCCTGTCTGAGCTGTGTCTTTTGGAAGCCAGCACCTTCTCTGAGCATCCACTGGCACAACTGGAAAATGGGCCATTCAGGGTCGATCAGACCTCCTAGGGAGGGCATGGATCTTCCCCAACAGTGACATAGTGACAATAACTAACTCAGACAGTATGCTGAGCACCTCCTCCAGGCCAGGCTCTGGCCACCATCCTCATTCTCTCACAAGGAGGTCCTGGCACCCCGACCTCACTATACTGCATGTGAATGACTAAGGAATCAGTCTGTCCTATCTTGCACAGAGCCCTGTGCAGGGGGATATGCCAGGCCCACTCTTTGAGGTATCATCTCCTTTGGCTTTATGCACCTGTGATGAAGCAAATGACCCTGACTGTCCTTGTTTTACAGATCAGAAGCTTAAGGCTACCAACAGTTCACACAGCTAGGTTGGGGCTTCTGGGCTGAGCACACTTGAGGTACAGTCCCCTGCCATAAGGGGGCTAGGAAGTCCCATCTCTGGGCCTCAGTTTCCCTCTGTAAAGTGATGGATGTACCCATTTCCTGATTGAGTAAAGCTTGGGTGCTGCTAGGGAGTGTCAACCTGTGGGGGAAGGTGGGAAGTTCCACCTGGGAGATTTTCCATCCAGACAAGCTAGAAGCTCAGTACTTCCAGGTTCAGAGTGATTGTGATATGTGCTTCCCTGCCCTAAAAACCTGCTCATAATCTCTGGGAGTATAGGGGTCTGGCTCACCATGCTGAAGTCCAGGAGGTCACTCAGCTCCTTGTCCGTGCCCACAGGTGCCATTCTCTGCGACTGGTTCATCCTCCAGCAGCAATGGCAGGTGCAGGAACTGGGGTGGCTACCCCAGGCCTAAAGACAGCCCTGTGTAGTGGCCCCAGGGTAGTGGACACAGGGAGAGACAGGGACAGACAGACACACATAGAGAAACAGGGAGAGAAAGGTTTGAGTAACATAGCCCAACCAAAAGAATAGGAAAGCAATGGTCTGGGGGGACAGATGGTCTATGAGAGTTCTGGGGGAGGATGCAGGAATTATGCTGGGATTCTCCCATTTGGGTCTCTGTACAACCAACCCCAGAGCCCAGGGGGAGCTTGCACAATGGGGAGGTGATGTGACTATAACCTTCTCTCATCTCCCTGGGCAACCATTAGAGAATCAAGATGCACAATTTAAACTGGATGGGGGTGCTCAGAATCTCACTTCCAACCCCCTCCAGGCTGCTCCACTGTCCTGCCTGGAGAGGAGGGATGGCCCAGATCCCACCCTCAGAGAAAGTTTGGTGGACCCCCCCCCTCCCAGCAGCTGTCACAGGGCAGTGAAACGCTCCTGTCATTCTCAAATCCAAAGCAAAAGAAATTCAGTCAAAAACCAGAAGCACTCCCCCCAGCCCGCTTCCGGACTTAACTGGGACTGGGGGGGGAAGCCCTATCTGTGGACCCACAAAGCATCCCTTTACCCTAACCCTCCTCCCAAAACCCAACTGAATTCATAAAAGTAAAAAAAAAATCTCGGGCTTTTTTTATTGTCATGATGTATCCGGGAATTATTTCTAAGCAACTTTGAAATCGTCCCTGCCTCCTGCTCCTGGTGGGGAGGATTCCCTGGGCAGCCCCAGGGGGCTCCACTCTGAATGGGGGAGGGGGATCCACCTGCCAGGCCCTGTCCCACGCCAGTAGAGGGAGCACAGTCTCCCTCTCCTAAAAAACTTTTTCCACGGCTGACAAGAACCCGCGAAGGCTGAGGGAGGGGGACCTGAGGTCTGGGGAGACCCAACTTCAAAAGCGGAGGAACCCCCTTTTGTTTGCCAACTCACACACTGGGTGTGAAACAACCGCCCCAACTCATCCCCTCCCCCGTTGTCTTTTTTTTTTTTTTCGTCTTTTTTAGAGAGCGTGTGAAACTTTTTTTTTTGAGTTGTTTGAAACCGCACTTTTTCGTGGGGTTAGTTGAAACCGATTTTCAGGCTGACTTGGGGGAGGTCTAAAAGAGGCTTTTAGAAGGGAGGTGAAAGATTTCAGGGTGTCACAAGGACTTGGGGGAGGACTAGAGACAGACTTGGAAAATGTTTGAAACCACTTTGGGGGGTAGGGGACAGACTGAAACGTCTTTCATTGAGGGGGGAGGGGAAGAGGCCCAGGGACACCCCCTTCCCGGGCAGCCGGTGCGGCCTGGGAGCCCTTTGAAGCTCGCCGCCCCACCACGGTGTCCTCGACCCCGAGCCGCACCGCGCCCCGCATTAACGCAGAGCAGATGTTCCCGCCCGGTCCCCCAGCCCCCAGTCCGGGCCCAGCACCCAGAGCTTGCGGTGTGCGCGGCGGCACCTTCCCCGCGCAGACAAAAGGACTCTCCTCCCTCCCTCGCTCCCCCTCCAAACTCCAGCCCCGGCTGGGCCCCTCCCTGGGGAGGGGGAACCCCGGGATCTCTGTGCTGGGGTCTGGGGCCCCACCAAGAAGTTGGACAACCTCACGAGCGCCCCTCGCGCGCCGGCTTGGGGCTACGCAAAGTTTCCGAACTGCTGGCGGCGGGGGGCGGCGCGGGCCCTCCACGTCGGCCGCCCCCTCCGGCGCGCAAAGTTGGAGAACAATGCCTCCCGGGCCGGTCCACCGCCCCCGGCCACCCTACAGGGCACGCACCCCTCAGCGCCACCGTCCAGGCCCTGCCGCACCCCTCACGGGCCTCGAGGGGGGGCCTGGGGCCAACTTTGCACAAAGCGGCGGGGGTCCCGGGCGCGGCCCCCAAAAGCCGCACGCCCCTCCCGCCTGCCTTCCACGAGTCTCCGAGCGCTCACCTGCTCGGCGCGGCTCGGCACGCGGCGCGGGGGAGGTGGCGGCATGAACGGTCCCCCACCCGGACAAAGGGGCGTCACGGCCAGGTCCCCGAGGGTCGTGCGTGGGCGGCGACAGCGCGCGTGGCCCGGGTCCCCTCCCCCGCCGCGTCGCCTACCCCGCGCGGCCGGCCGGGGCGCTGGGGCAGCGGCGTGCGGTGCCCGCCGCCCTCGTCGGGTACGGCTCCGCTCCGGCCCGCTACGTCCGCAGCCGCCGCCACCGCTTCATCTTCCTGCGGCGGGAGACATGTTCCGCCCCCCGCCCCGCGCCGCCCGCTCCGACACCGCCCCGCCCACTCCCCGCCCATAGACAGGGCCCTCCCCTATCGCGCCCCGCCCGTTCGTGCTCCACAGATTCTTCCGCCACGCCTGCGCGTCCCCGAAAGACGCGGACTCAGTCCCTAGTACCCACTAGAGAACCCTAAAGCTCTAGGCGTCCGATATCTGGGAGTGGGTTCACCCGGTGGAGAGATATGATTGCCAAGGCACGGGAAAGAGGCAGGGACTATCTTCCTGCGCGGAGGCGTACATGAACTGAGCGCATCGTCTATGACGCAAGCGGGAAGGACCGTGAGATTGAAAGATAAGGCACAGAGGCCTTCACCAATCGAAGGACACGAATATGTGATTGGTGGGGCTTTCGACCATTCGTAATAAGATCCCGCCCCACTTCATTCCCGCCCCGCGGCAGAGGCGGTACTCTCCCAACCAGAGTCCTCAAGAAGCCGAGGGGGGTGGGTGGGGTGAATATTGGGGTTTTATTCTCAGGTTGGTGTGGCCGCCCGTGCAGCAGTGTTGGGTTGTTTATATCTGAGTTTCTAGGGCTGGCATCCCAGGGTAGAAAGGGACATCAGACCCGTATTACTGGCTGGGAAACCGTGGCTCGCTCCGTTTCCTGGCTGTGTCTGTACCTGTCTGAGTCTGTTTCCTCATTTGTGAAGTGGAATTTGAACCTGAGTTTGAACAGAACCAAGAGTCAGTGGGACTTTCTGATACTCAAGTATCATTGAGACTTTCTGATACTCTGTGACTATTCAAGTCAAACGTTCTCCCCTTGAGAGGCTTCTCAGCCTTTGAGGACCATAGACCCTTCAGAATCAGAACAGTAAGTAAGGATTAAGTCGTCTAAGACTTTCTAGGGGCTCCAGAGAGACCCTGCCACGCTCTTGGGCCCTTGCCCTGTCTATACCCTCTGCGCAGCCTGGCTGCAGACCCCAGCTCTTCTCAGCTCAATGTCGCTTCCAACCCAGGCAGTGGAGCTGAAAGGAAGAAAGTGGAGCTGGGTGTCCAGGGAGGGGTATAGGGTGCTACTAATAAAGCCACAAGCTCCCTTCTTCTACATCCCAATTGGGCTCACCCAGTCTGACCCCTTCTGATCTGGGGAATCCCCACATTCCACAGCTCTGGAGAGAGTGGTGTGGGTCTGGAGGTCTGAGTTCTAATTCCTCATCCTTCCCCACCTGTGACCTTGGGCAAGTTCTTGCTACTTTCTGGACAGGAAAATAAGGGAGCAGCCATGGGCACACAGCAGGTGCCAAGTTCATAGCGTGTGCCTGTGTCCCTTAGCATCCCTCCACTTAGGGCCCTGGGACTCTGGATCCAGGATCCCCCACTCCCACTCCAGTCCCCTTACCTCCCAGCCCTTCCCTGTGGCCCAACCCTGACCCTATGAGTCTGGGGTGCCTAGCCGGTCCTGGCTGTCCCCCATCCAGTTTAGGGTTTCTTGAAGGTGAGGCTGTAGCTGAGACTTCTGGGACCAGCCTACCTCCCACTCAACTGCTGTCCAGGGTCTAAACCATAAAGTCAGGTCTGACCTTACTAAAGCAGCCCTGCGTATCACCCAAGGGGGAGAAGTCATCCATTCAGGACAAGTCCTGGTAGTATGCCAGCCTTTGTGCTGGGCATTGGGACCCTGTTGGCTGTAACCCTTCTAGTCCCTGCAAGGCAAGATGAGCCATCAGAGACCCTCTCATATTCATCCCAAATGTGTCTCTTTTCAGCCATGTGTTGGTGGTCAGGTCTTCTTGCCCAAATGTATGAATCCATTGCACAGACAAAGAGACCCAGGGGGCCAAGTCCACCCTTGGAGCACACACCTTCAAGGAAGCTCTCCAGGCACCCACAAGTCACCATTGCCTTCCTGGGAGGCCTGTCTGGGAGCTGAGTCACAGGGCAGAACAGCTCATGGAGGCCCCACTCTGCTGCCACCTCTGCCTAGCCCTGAGGCCTGGGTGCGCCCTACAGGACCCTGGAACAGGGACAGAGAGCCAGTGATTGGTGCCAGGGCCCCTCAAGGGCAGCCTACAGGCACCCCGCCCCCACCCTCCTGACTGAAACCTTTGTTCTCCTTTGAGTGCCTCGGGAGCCTCTCTACCTGTCACTTGTCCATTCTCTTCCAGCCACACCTACTATGCGCACAGCCTGGCACCTGAACTGATTTCTGCTGGGAAAATGAATGCTAAGAACAGATTCCCACTAGGGAAGGGGAGAAGACAGAATTGGAGGATAGTGGTGGAAACTTCTGGAAGATAGTAGGTGTGCTAGTCCTGGTTGTTCACTCAGTGGGTAGAATTGGACTTAAGACACTTGTCTCTTCATTTGTCTACAAACCAGGGATGTCTGACATCTCCTGAATTGTTGACCCCCCCCCCCAATACACAGACTCTTGCTTTGCTCTTTTGGTAAGAGGCCTGGCAGGGGTGGGGTGGGCACTGGGCCATCACTGACTACCACCCCCTCATGGCAACCTACAGGGAGCAGGGCCACCAGGGTGGGGCTGATCCAAGGGTGAGGGCTACTTGCTTCACTCAGATCCCTGATGCTGAGCTCACCATGAACTCTCCACAGTGGTCTGGGCTGCAGTGGTCCTGGCTTCCTGAAGTATTTTCTTCAGGCTCTGTGGCAGGGCCTGGGCCTGAGGGCCTCCTGGAAATCAGAGTGACAGGGAGTTTATTATCTCCTCCAGCGGAGGAAGGAGGCACTGGCTATATTGGGTGTAAGATGGATGATGAGGCTAGGGTGTGGCTCAGTGGTTAGTGCTTGCCTGGCATGAATAAGGACCCAGGTTCCATCCCCAGCACTTCAAAAAGAAATCAAATAAAGGGGGCTGGGCATGGTGGTACATACCTGCAATCCCAGATACTCAGGAGGAAGAGATCTGGAGGACTGAGGTTGGAAGCCAGCTGGAGCAAAAATTAGACTCCATCTTAACAAACAATTTGGGTATTGTGGAAGGCATTTGTAATATAAGCTATAGGGGAGGTGGAGGTAGGAGGATCATGGTCTGAAGCCAGCCCTTGGCAAAAAGCCTGAGACCCTATCTGAAAAATAAAACTAGTGTCAAAATGGGTAAGGCATGGCCAAGCCTGCCAAGCAAGCTCAAGGCCCTGAGTGGAAGGGAAGGGAAGGGAAAAGGAAAGGGAAAGGGACAGGAAAGGGACAAAGAAAAGAAGATGCAGGATGTAACCCCATAGGCATGAGACAAATTGGCAATCGGTCCTGACTTATTGGCACTCTCCTCGTAGGTATGACGAGGTGAGGAGGCACCATGAGGAAGGTTCTCTGGGGTAGTGACACTTGGGCCATGATCACAAGTATAGTGGGTCAATGGGCAGAGTGGTGAGCCCTCTAGGCAGAGTGGGGACCCAGTGTGGTACATTTAGGGACCAAAGTCAATGGGACCCCAGAGAAATGGAGAGAGGAGCCAAGGTCAGAGAGAGGGCCAGTCAGAGATACGGTAGAAGGAAATGGATCTTTCTGGTGAGGGCACTAGAGAGCCATAGCAGGGGTGTGACCAAGAAGGAACCTTACCTGGTCTGTGCTGTACAGAGACCCCTATGGCTGCCACATAGGGGAGGAGAAAGGGGAAGGACAAGGGATTATTATCAGGGAGAAGGGGGACTATGGGGTGGTGAGTGAACATGGTATGGGATGGCCTTGAGGGATATTGGAAGGGACAGGAATGAAGTGAGGCACAGCTATCCATTGGTGCTCAGGGTGGGGTACTGAGTACTGATGCCCTTCTCTGAACTGGGACAACTGAGGCATGTGAGGGAATGAATGTGGAGAGTGGCCCATGTGCTGGACAGTGTCCAGGCCTCTTGGGACAGAGCCAGGAGGACAGTTGAAAAGTGAATGAATGAATGAAGGAGACAACATCGGGGCTCAGCTCCAACCTGCGTGAGCCTCGGACCTTAGCTGAGCCCCAGATCTAACCTAAGCCCTGACCTTGACTAAACTGTGACCTCAGACTGGACCCCAACCCTAGCTGAGTCCCTCTACTTGGATTGAACCCCAACTGAGGCTCAACCATGTCCTGGGCCACACAGACTCTGCTGTGCCCCCCAGTTCCTTCTCATCTGCCTGGTCCCTCCCAGGACAGCACCACCTGTTGAGGATAAGGACAGCTATCCTTTCCTGGCCAGGTGCCCTGACTCCTGACTCAGGACCCAGGCCTGTCCCACCACATTCCGGGGCAGCCAGTGCAAACATGAGGCACCTCCCTCAGCCCCCACAGGCACTATCCAGCCCATTGACCCCAGGGGGAGGTGGGGCAAGGGACAGGGAGCCTAGCCAGATTCCTGCCCACACACCCACCCACAAGGCTGCCCTGCTGACCTCTACCCTCAGTGACAAGGTAGAGAGTGCTTCTGTCCACTCTGAGGCATAGTGGGGGTCTCCTTCCATCCCAGAAGATTGAGGAAAATATCCCATTGTTCAGATGAGGAAACTGAGGCTAGGACTCAAGAGGCCCCTTGCCTTTAGCCAAGCTGAAGGCCTCCACCTGCTCCCTGTGCTTAGTGGAAGAGGAGGAAGGCATAGAGCAGCTGGACCTGCATGAATAGGCCAGGAGGCCAGAAGTCAGTCCTGGCCACTGGCCAGAGAAGGACTAGAGTTTTACTTGAGGGCCCCAGGGTCTCATGGAGGGAATGGTGGGGAAGGTTGGGCACCAAGGTGGAGGCCAGAGATCTGGTTGTGGGGTGAATGCCTGGGGGAAGGGCAACAGAAAGAGACCCATTTTCCAGATTGGAATCAGCAGCATCCCTGGGAGAAGAGCTCCTATGTCAGAGCAGAACACAAACACCCTCAGCTTAAGGTGGGGACTCAGTGCTGGGGTGCTTGGGGGCTAGGGGAGCGACTTACTGGAGCCAGCCAGAACTGAGCCTGGAGGGCAGGAGGTCAGTCAGGTAGAGGGCACAGCCAAGACACAGGCTGGGAGGCAAGATGGGAGTTGGATCAGTGGGTTTGTACTGAGGATG